GTTGAGTCAGCTCACAAAGTGGGACCTGAAGATGGACAAAAAACTTCTTGGGGAGGGAAATATACTAACTATGAAACAGTGTATAAATACTTCTGGGACACCCTGTATTAGTCTCCCTCGTTCGTTCAAAGGTTGCATAGAGAGATGACTACCTTGCAAAATTCTCTTGAATAAGTAAACAGAAGCGGAATCTGCTGGAAACAAAATTTTCTAAATAGGTCCAAACTGAATGAACACTATATTCTGCACATTCTGTATTGTTGGCTATGACAGTAATAATGGCAAAAGCCTTTATCGTATGCTCTTGCTTTGCGCCTTATTTCTTTTCTTTCTTTTCTTTCTTTTCTTGCTTTGCGTTTTCTGACGTAATCGCTCTTTGGTCAAGTTACTTCTGAGTGTTGGACTTTCAACAATCGATGTCATTCATTTCGATGAATCTATTAGGAGATTAGCTTAGTCAAGCCAATCTTTAGGGCTGCTTAACCCAGCTAAACTTATCTTTTTATTTCATATCGAGTAATTTCCAAAACGATACCCGCTTATAGACAGAAGCTTTCGATTATTTTTACTTCCTTACTCATTACTGTTCCCGGTAGTTTTCTGTATTTGTTTATCCTTAATCTTGATAGAAGATGCGATGAATCTGTTTGATTAAAGGTGCAAAATTTTTAGTAAATATCCATTTTGTCAACTTGCCGCTAAATGTTTTCATTAAAAAATACGTCACGAATATCCGCTACTCCAAATTTCTGAAATTCTGGATACTAATCTTCCATAACCTGTGACCAGAGAATTTCTAGAACGTTTTCGCAAAAGGAATGGAGATTCGGTCCAAAAATAATCTCGTAACATCTGGTTTCTAATTCTGTTTTTGTTGTTCCTATTTTCATTCTTCTGTGGAAATTTGTAAATAATTACTAGGCTACAACTGCGGATTTCTCTGATTTGCTGCTATATACTCCCATGCGGATTCGCTGGTTAATAAAAATGCAAACTTCCTTGGCTGTATATACGAATTTGGCTATTCCTACATCGTTATATACGTGGAATGCTACTTCCTTCTTGTTTGCTGCGCTATTTCTTGCGAAGTATTACTCACTGTTCATTAATTTTGAATGTGTACTAAAATGAACGTGCTAGATCCAACTGCTCTCTTTTTTATATCCGTCCAAGAAAGATATAAATGACATTTCACAGCTATTCTCAGCGTATCTCATCACTCAATCAAGCATCGCTGATTGCTCGATGAACGTACTAATTTCTCCTCAGCCCTCTTCTCCCAAAAATTCCTTGACGTGAATCTCGTCTCACGTCAACGAAAACTCGTCCGTTCTGCGTTTGTTAGTAGATTTATCTCCACTCACATGTCATTTATTCATGTACTCATTCATCTTGCCGCTGTTACACCCGTCGTCGTGAAACATCGTCAGGTGCATGCTCGGGGTGATGGCTACGGGGTCCCGTGTGACGAGGGCCCTGACCGTACCCTGGCCCGATGTTGGGAATGTCGCAACATCTGCTTCATCCAGCTCGTCTGGCTGTCACCAAAAGTGCCGACATCGATGTCGTGACGGTTCAGATCAGCTTTGGATCTCACTCTCGTTCGATGACTCTGATTGATGGAATGACATTTGTGCACGCGAGTTCACTGTTCCGGCTGTTATCGACAACGCTCTTATCGCTACATTCATTGCTTATCTCTTTTTCGTAGTACTTTCACAATTCAAATGCAAATTTTTTTAGCTGAGCTAACTTGGAATTTTGAACATCAAAACGCTCCCTCAGCAACCTTGAAATTTAACATCGCGCGCTGAAGCACGCATTCTGATTCTTATGGACTCTATGTTCATTGAGATTTTCGAAAGCCCCAGTTAGGTCTGAAATTGCCTAAGGCAAAAATAAGAAGAAAAGTTTTCGATGCACAATGTGTAAAAAGCTCCGTTTTGTTCCTGTCCTTAGACGGAGTAAAAGTATTTACAGACCTTCCCCGAAACTCCTCAGTAAGGATAGAAAGTTTGTAAGACTTATAATACTGAGAAGTAAGTTTGTTTAGGAGTAAAAAGTATGTACATGATTTTTTTTGAAAAGTAAGGGTCCTGAAATTGAGTAAGTAAGAAGACAATTTAATGGTTATAGTTGTGTGTCATACATGAATCTATATGTTTATTACAAAACTTTCCATTCGAAACACTGTATATACTAAAGCGAATTTCTTTCTTTTTGATTTTATCGTTTTCTTTTCTGTTCTTGTTTTGAATGAAATTTGCAGATACAAAGTGCTAGGGCGTTATGAAGTCGAAAAACAAGTAAAATAATCTACCTCTTGCTCGAAAAGTCTATTTATACTTGCTTCTTATTCAATCATTAATTTTTCATTGATTGTAGCGTTAAATCAGCACGATTACTAACGAATTTGCGTTTTCATCAGAATGCCCTTACTAATGTGCATTCTGATGAAAACGATATTCGCTATCCCATTTTTGGCGAGGCTGAACCCCCGCACTTGAGGAAGCTGTCGGCAACTAGACTTGAGAAAACATTTTACAAAGCTATTTCGACTACAGCAGTTTTGAAAAAATTATCTACTACTTAAACACGAATTCAAAAGCTTCCAATGTTGCGTGAAAATGAGCTTCATGAATGGAATCATGTCCTGACAATGTTCTAGGTATGATAATTGTAAGGTGAAGAAACCATAATAAAGCGAACTGTTTCGATATGTTGAATTTTTTGACTGCTTCAGTGCTGAAATGTTGCGGAAATTTTATTCGTAACGGGATATTTGATAGCGACAGAATTTGTCAAGCTTTGGAATGAAACGTAGGTGTGGAGGTGTCCATAAAGAATAAGACCGCTATCGATGTCACTCTAGAATAATAGAGGAACAGAACGAAAAGAGAGGAGATTGAAAGCACTCAAAAAGGGCTCATTGGGGTCATCCGTGGATAGCAACATATGTAGAAAGCAGTTGAGTTAAAGACTTTCGGGTTTTCGTATCATTGTTATTTAGCTGTAGATTTGGCTTTGTCAATAAACCTTGCAACAATATCTTTTATGATGTATCATACCTCCCACCCATCTCATCAAGTTTTTTATTTGCCTCAAAATTCTCACTGATCATATTGTTGCGCTCTAAGTGAAACACAAGGGAAAAACATTTGAAAGTTTTAAAATATTGTTGTAACGAAGTGAATATTATGCTATTAGGACGGCTAACCAATAATTTCATTTTCACATGCAAGTTCGAAGCTCTATAAAAGTTCAAATAACTGATATCTAACTATGATTTTTTGTGAGCGGGTAGCTCCAAGTTTCTGCCGTCATATGATCATTACATAGTATTTTCAAACCTGATAGAAGATAGTTATGACCTTATATGGCTAGTCTTTTGAAAATCACTTTTTTGATTTTCTAAGTCGGGATCGAATACATTCAGTTTTTCGAGAATGTGACGAAAATATCTGACTTTTTTGATTTCCTGCACCTTTTGCCATCAAAACCATGATTTTTGAGCAAACAAAGTTAATCATACGATTCTCCTTGATTTATCCCTTCGAATGGCACCATACATTTCACATAAATATATGTAACATTTCTACAAACCGTTAAAAACGACCGAGATTATTTTTTAGCCAACCTCTTATTTTACGGAGGAATTATGGGGCGCTAAGAGACTCAACCACTGCAGTACTGTTGTGGTCGAAATTCTATCCAACCATTACACACACTTTCTATGTGATTTCTCTCATAAAGTGAATAGAATGTGCAGCAGTGTTTATCAAGTCGATAGCTCAGCTCGGAGACGCTTATGATAGTTTTATTGAGCTTGCGATGCACAGCTTCCCTTAATTCCTATTTTTCTATCAGCAAGCTTCATAGCACTATCCCAGTTCTAGGAAATTACGCATATATAGATGGTTTTAAAAACTAGCGTTTCACGTTTTTCAGCCTTCATAGTAGCTCAAATGGATCGTTATACTAAGGTCTTCTATCCTACTGATGTCAACTCACCTTTTTTTTGGAACTCCAAAGAAATTTTGCAGTTTCCTGCGTCGGAGTTTGAAAAGGAAGCATCGCAATCGAATCCACTAATAATTTTTGTTTTCTGGTCTTTTGCAACGTTTTTTTATAGCGATCTGTCCATTGTTACGATCAACTCTCTTGAGCGTTCAGAATGAACTCAAATATTCTATTGCAAGTATGTTTGTTGCTTTAACTTCATCCAGTTTAGTCTATGCTCTTTGATATGGAAAATGCCGCCGTCCCATTACAAAGAGTAGAACCTCAGCTCAAATGGAGGCTTGTAACTTTGTACCAAACTGTACAAATCAGTAACTTTCACAAGCGCACATAGGACTTCAAATAAATAAGTTTATCAGAGTTGCTTCTTAAATAAGGCAGAAGAAGCTCCTGCTCATTTCGGTGTCTCGTCAGCCCAACACATTCTTCTTCTTTGCCTCAAAGACTATTGAAAATAGACTCAATTTTCAGAACAAGCTCTTACTTTCTTTTTTGGCCCATTTTCTAAAACCACAGGTTATCTATCAAATGCTAACGGATTCTATTATCGGGCTCTTATATGTAATCAAAACATTCTGAAAAACTTAGGCTAGTTTTGGACTGCAATCAAAGTTTGTCGGATAAGATCGTCTGCAGAATCTGGTATATTGTAAGCTGTCGTGGGTTAAAACCCATCAAAGTCACCTTTCAAGTAAGTTCTCTGATGTCTTAAAGTGGACATCGGTAGTACATCTCCATTAACTCATTAGACGACCTTACCTCGTCATCACAATCTTTAAAAGTACCAAATCCACTTTTCCATTTAAAAGTCATCGCTTTTTTGTGAGTAATCGTCGTAAAGAACCTACGAGATCTTTTATGGAGCCTTTTCTTCTGGAATGTTTATATGACTTATTGATCAATTATTCGAGGCTTTGCCCTCTCTCGTCATAGTTTCATCGTAAATTTTCGTTGTAAAGTATAAAGTATTCGTACAGGTGATGGCCACCGATCCATGTACAAGCCTAAATGGATGTCGAGTGGCGTTGCTGTCCTGTGGGCAGTATGATCCACCTTCTTACGCACACCTTAGGATGTTTGGTTAGTCATTTTTGTAGCCAATATGTATAATTTGAAGAGAACGAGCGTTACTATTAGGTCGTTCCGAAAGTAATGTCGCTTTTTTCAAACGTATGCCACATCTCGTGGAACAAAGATGTGTAAGAGATTCTGGTAGCATTTGATGCAGCGTTTCATTCCCTTTTTAAAGGTTATGAAGATGTTGCAATACAATAATGATCTTTTAAAAAGGAGTCAAAATCTGCGACCTATGCTTTTTAAGATGGCCAAGTTTCACAATTTTTCTAAAATTTTATAACAAACCTCAAAAGTAGTCCAAGTAATGGATGGATGGAGCAAACCCTACAAGATACAGCACAACTTTTTCCGCTTTCCAGAGCTCGCCATAATTTTTGTACAGATTTTTCGATGGAACCACCGAATTTTAGCAGGCTCGTCTCAGACACATGTGCATCGAACGCCAACAAGTCTCCGGATTTTGAAACTTACAAAGATGATTATGGTTTGGCAACAATTTTACAAACCAAACGAGCATTCACCGCTTCGGTTTAGCAACTTTCGAAAATTTCGGGTACACCTTGGGATCCTTGGAAAAGTTGAACTATGATGATTTCATCCCGAAAAACTTGATGAATCGGAAACAAAAAACAACCGCTAGAAAGAGGGGAAAAAGCTGCATCGAATGACACCTGAGTCGCTTGCCGGTTGTTGTTCTGTGAGGTTTGACTTGACTAAATATGGAATTTGATTGCATTGAGAAATTGATTGTAGAAACTCTGAGAAGCAAGCTGAGGAAAAGAAAAAATTAATCTGTGTTCTATAGTATTTGCTCTATCTAACTGCCACTTGTACCTTTTCGGAGATTAGGTACAAAAATTTAGAAAAATAGCCGAACTTGACCATGGCAGAAAGCATGAGTCGCAGATTTTAATAATTTTTCGAGAGCTCATTAAACATTACGCAGTGAAATTAGAATCGTTAGAAAGGAGATGAAATGCTGCATCGAATGCTTCTAAGATCTCTTGAAAACATTGATTCCACCAATAGTGGCGTTCATTCGAAAAAAGCGACATTACTTTCGAAACAACCTAATACTTATATTTCAAATTTTCAATCATTTTCGAGTCGTATAATCTAGCGAATAAATCCTGATATAAAGAAGATTTGGAGATCTTGGAGATTTGGAGATTTTTTGCATAATGATGCAATTCACTGGATTCCACGAGTATCATTGAAACATTTTCATGAAATATTGCTGAGGCTCACGAGGGGGTTCTCAGATTAGTCCTATAATAATTTTTTCATTGAGATTATACCAGGTAATTACTTCATGATGCAAAATCGGTATAACTGTAAGCATCGTTATTGATCAACATTTTCTTCCTCTTTACCTTACCAGCAAAGTAAAAAGTAAAAATAACTGCACGTAATACTCGGCGAGTTTTTGAACTCACTCAGGTTTTTCTAATTTCAGAGCGTGCAAGGGATTTTCTCATGAGAACAATGGGCTGCAAAGTAGTCGAGGTGAGCAGCTTTTTCAGTGCTTCTAAGCTCCAAGAATCCGGCTGCAGATTTACGAAGATTAATCTTTAAAGTTGTTTATTTAGGGAATCATGAGTGTGGCGGGAGATTCGCCTTCAACCCGAACACCTGCAAAACATCGTTTACGAATGGTCGAAACGGCAGTTAGGAAAAATTTTTGGATACGGTAAGGCACTTTTTCACCAATAATGCTATAGAATTGGGGTACTGAGCGTCTTATAATTTCTCTAACAATTTACCTAATTTTGTGTATTAGCCTTTTTTTGAAAATTCAGCAAAATTCTGATACTTTGGTTCCATCCTTGCCCATCAGTTTAAGTATTTTCTCTATGGCAATCAACGAAAAATTGTAGTTTCTATTCTGAAGAAATTTCTATTCGTTGTGTTAGAAAAGATTTGCTGAAAAGGTCACAAGGATCATAGATATCTTGAGTGATTTTGAGTACTGCCAGACAAACGCTATCGTCTAAACTATTGGAAATTTCCCAATGACTTTTTGGTAATTTCATAGCACTTCTATTTTCCACTTATTATCGAGCATTTTTTGCAGAGCCGGCAATTACGAGTGCAACCAGCCAACTCCAGTACGACAGCTAGCTGTGCTCAAACATTATCAAAGGGTTAGAAACGCGAATCTAAATCCTACAACATATCTTCTTCATGCGCCTGTTCTAGAAAATTTCGCAAAAACACGATGAGCCAATTCGAATGATGTACATTTGTGGCAGCGAAGTGCTTGATGAGCTACTTGCCGTACAAGCAGATGGTTGCTGTCTTTGGACTCATGCCGAGGTACTGTACCTTACATTCTCTAGTGGATTTACTACGATTTGTAATTGTTTTTGCAGATCAAAGAATTACTTCAAAAGAACGGGTTAATAGTATTGAAACGAGGACGGACGCATCCCTCACAAACCATATACCTCACTGATGTACTTAGGCAATATCAGGTACGGAGATCAAACGCTAAAATGTTCTCTTTCTAACCGGAGTACACCAGAAACCTGCAAGAAAATTATGCAAATGGTTGGTTAGTTGGTTTCAAGGTTCCAGAAAAATTTTTCTAACATTTTGAGGTAAACGGAGACTCTCTTTCGAAAAACCAATTTCTCTCCTTTAAAAAATTGTAAACAAAGCTCGTAATCAGCTTGAACTAAAAATTTGCCACAACAAGAATAGTCGTCCTTCTGATACAGTAGTTGAATTTTGTCAAATAGCAATGCTCTGCAATGAATAAGCATCGAATTTTTTCAGAAAAATATCTATGTGATAGAAGACGAAACATTCCCCAATGATCTCAGATGTTCGAGGATAAGGTAAGTACCAGTCTGACTAGAGGAATCTGTCTAAATCTGTAATTGCAGAACCGCAATACGTCGTGGCGAGTCTGTGAAGTACTGCTTGGACGATGATGTCATCGAATACATACATGATCATAACCTCTACCAAACAAGCACGTAAGTGGCTTATTAATCCCGTCTTACTGCTCCTACCTGCTCTGAAATTAGTCCACACTAAATACAAAAACTTGCACGCTCAGGGATTCCGACAACGAACAGTGTACATCGGCATTGTCAACGAGTTCTGCACCAAATCTGTATTGCAGTAGTACTGCCTCCAGCAGTTCAAAGTGAGTTCTTTATGGAACACTTTCCCCAGACACTTGTTCTGGAAAAAACCCCTCCTTCCTTTTTTCAAAATCTCTGGAAATCATTGCGTTGATTGAAAAATTACGGTACTTCTCTGTGTACAGCATTTCAAAAATGCTCTCATGATTCTTTGAATATTAGATGCCGGAGCGAACAAGGAGGTCTAGATTGCATTTTGTTCTTCCTTTGCAATCCCTCTAAAGGAATCGAGTGCTTTTTGTTTTAATTAGACTGCTGCATAAGTCTGTCCAATTTTTTGGCCTTGTACTCGAAGAAGCCGTTCTAAAATAGTTTCGCTCGTATTGTGATTATTTGTACCATTTGAAAGCGCTTTTCTTGCTCTTTCTAACGCATTCTGAATTCTGATAAAATCTCCAGTCTGACGAGATCGCAAGCATATGATTCCCAGATGGTCGAGACACGTTCTCAACTAAGAAAATGCTCTTGCGAAAAAATTTCCACAATATGTTCTCCAATCAAGTATTTGTTGTGATCACGGAAGAAGAATGAAACAGTCCAGTATACGCACAACTCACTTTCACGTGAAAAAACGTCTTGCTAGTAAAATTTGTTGTTGAAGAATACTTATTCGTACAAAAGTTCTATAAGCAACAACTTTCCGTACATAAAAGCAATCGATGAGTCCCAAGTTGGAGGTGGTAGAGTAAAGCAAGAGCTAGCAGAGCCCCCACAAGTTCCTTTTCACTCCTTGCGGCAAATGTAAAATTTTCGTAATTTGAAAGTTGGCACATATACAAGTACCAAAACGGGATTGAGAAACGGCCTCGTTTTCATTCGGTCAAAAAAGTTTTTCGGTACCGGAGATCCTATGGGCACTTCTAGGCAGAATAATCTTCAAAATTTTCTCTATCTACCCATGCCTATTTAAAGTTCCTGTCAGTTCTCGTAAGGGAGCATCAAAAAAGACAGGTTTGAAGAAGAACGCTGTGAAGTCTTTGAGTTCACGGATCTTCTTCAAAAAAGTTTTTCGCTAGAACTAGTATCTCTCTGATACTGAAGAACTGCTCAACCCACTGAAACTAAAATTATGGATAAAAGTGTTTTGAAAGAAGTTATGATATTTTGAATTCGAAAATCCAAATCGGACAGAACTTTTGCAGCAGCCTGATACATCTGTGCTTGAAACAACACTATTCAAAAGTAGGCAGCGTATCTCACCGTACTTTAGTCCACAATTCTTTATTGAGAACACCCAAATCTTGACTAGGGTTTCTTGTTAAGGAAAAAGTGTACCTTGTTAATTATCACCTAATTCGCTAACATGTAGACATTCAGAATCGCTACTAATTTCCCCTGTTTTGAAAGCTTTCACGTCACTTGAAAAGTTTATGGTTCTATTTTTCCCGCTACAACGTTAGCTCCGCCTCTGTCCTTGGCCTTGCCTACGTTCCGCCTCTTGTATCCACAGGGCGAAAGGGATGTTGGGAGATTTGCATCTTACTACTATAACCGTACGAAAAAAACAAAAATCTCACGAAAAAACTCTTGATCTAGTGGATTCTGCAAATAAATATAATCGTTCACCACCACAGACTGAGTTTTGGAAATTGGCATTCTAGAATCATACAAAAATAACCAAAATAGCCAAACTGTTGTATCACTTTTTGATTTAGAATCAAGTTTCACAGGTAGATAACTTTTTAGGAAAAATCAAGATGACGATAAAACCGTACCACCTGAACCACCACAGAGGAGCAGTTCGGAAGGACTGAGTGACAAGTACAAGAACATAGTGAGCTACACCTATTTTATACATCTATCTTTCCACAAATTAAGTAAAAAATGTCAAAGGAATCATACTTTGAATAACGAAAGCCATAACTATGGAAAATTCAAGGCAGAGCGCAAGAAGGACAATAGAAAAAAGAGATTCTAATATGATAGTAGATTTTTTAAAAAATTTTTAAGACTTTTATTTTTATTAAGGATTTTTCAAAGATATGTCAAGTGAAAAGCGGCAAGATTTTTCCGATAAAAAGCCGTTTCTTTTCGAGTATTCCCCACAATTCTTCGCAACCTTATCACTCGCAAAAAGCGCAAACTTGAGCAATTTTCCATTATCCACAACAAAAAAGTTAAAAGGTATATTTATAATTCAAATAGGCTATTTGCAAAAATTACGGCTCGCTCTTGGGGAGGGGAGGGCAAACTTAGGAAGAAATTTTTGCATTTTTTGAATTTTCTATGCCAATAGCTTCCGACTTTAGAAGGGAATTCCCATTTTCCAGGTCCCAATCCCCTCAGCCGAATGGCGAACGCCGCCGTCGTCACAGCCTTCGTCTTCGGGTAGTTGTAGCAGCCGAGAGGCATCGGTACCGAGACAGCTTCCCTTGAAGCCTCAATCTGCTCGGGAGCCCCCACCTTCGTCCGCTGAGCGCTATTCAGTCAAGTGGTCAGACACAACCACTGAAATCGCCATCAAAGCATCGAGCGAGGAAGAATCGAGCAAGCAAGGGCTTACAAACACATCTGGGCAGCAGAAACAAAAGTTCGGGGCGAGCCACACATCTTCAAGCTCGTCGGGCAAACAGTCATCCCCGTCAGCTTTTGCGCTTTGTCCCAAAACCGCAGAAAAGGACGCAAATGCGGACGACGAAGACATCAAGGGGATTCCTCCAGAACTGCCGAAAGCTGCTTTTATGAAGCCGATCTTGAGCCAGGTAGCGACCTTATAGCATTTACTAAAGCTCACTTCCCTCAAAACATCTTCTTAAGAAAAAGTTCACCTTTATAGCAACAACTTTTGAAACTCATAGCGAATGAGGTAAGAAGAACGATTTGTTGTGTGAGAAGACCCGAGTTCACTATAACTGAAATGCAGTACTACCACTCTCAAGTCTAACAGCTTTTTTCTCAATTTCGCTTTTTCAATGAAACCTACAAAAGCCGCATTTCAGCCGCAACCAGCAGCGGATTCCCCGTTGTTTCTTGGCAAAGCTACGGACTGCGATGAGATTCCAAACTGCGTCATCTCGACAGTGACGTCGGATGCAAAAGGAAAGCTGAGAGGACTGGCTGAAAGTCCAACTTATGACAATGTGACGCTAGATGATCTTCTGGCTGCCAGCACATCGTGGGCCGAGTATTTGCACAAAGAAAGCGAAAGGATTGGAGGCAAGTTTTGAAGCTATTATACTCATGGATTTGGCTTATGAAGAGAGCTATTTTGACGAAAAGAATCCCCTTCTTTGATTTTAAACCCCCGCAAAAGGGACACATACCCTTCGTAAAAGAAATCTGAATGACACTGCACTATAAGCATAGGGGACTCGGCACCTGCTGGAACCAGAGGGATTTTGAACGAAGCCGCTTTTGATTTAAATCTGATGAAGTCTCCTTTGACCTTCCCTCCCCCCTCTTATCGCCTTACTACTTCCCACGCTCACCCCTCAATAGAGGTACAAGGGTAAAAATCCCCTCTTTTCTTCCTCCTCCTCTCCTTTCTCATCCAGCTACCATTTCCTCCAATTGTGAAAAATTATGTGAGCAAAGTGTCACTTCCAGCTCAGCTGGAACCCACCTGGGTCGCTACCAGCTCGGAGAAAAGTTCAGCACGGTTTTCATTCACACAAGTTTTCATGAATTTTTAGGGCATTTATTTCCAGAAACGACATCGAGCGACCCGGCTCCTGTTGTTTGAAATCCACTATGAAAATTCTTTGCTCAAGCGCTTTTTCTTTTTAGCTCCATAGGAAGAGAAATGGGTAATTGTAAAAGAAAATCGGTAGACCAGCGTTCAGCCTAACCGGGCAAACAAGAATTACCCCACTAACAATGCCCGGATAATTTACAAATTGACCCCTTTTGTAATTCTCATTGTCAGAAGAATTTAGGCATGGCAGGCGAAGAGTGCAAAGAATCCGTGGTACCAAATGACCCGCCTCCAAGCAAAGAATCGTCGTCGAGAGAAGAGAAGAAAAAGCGCGGATGGTTTTTCAATCGCAGCAAAAGTTTGAAGGTATCGTAGTTTTGAATATTTATGATGAATTTTCACTTGTTACTCCTTACTTTTTTGAGTGTTTTATGAATATACCTCAGATGAAAGTCAGAAGGATGCGAATTTTTTCGATCAGAACATGGTTGTTATAATCTTTGTGACTTCCTAAATCTTCGCAATAATTCCATTCATTTAGGATCTGAAACCCCAACCAGAGGAGGAGTCTTTGGTGCGGATTTGCACTACAGACCGAAGGGAACAACCGCTAACATCTCCCGAGATACTTTGGAGGCGGATCAACCAAAAACCAGAGAAAGAGAGGTAAGGTTGAAAGTATCTTCATTCCGAGTTTCTAATCTTCTCCCTTCCAGATGGTCCGATTTGGCTTCATCGCCGCGACCACAATGTCCACGACATCCCGATAAGAAACTTATGCCCATAGATCCCCGTAAAGATCCACGGACATCTCGTTCCATGGCAAAATCAGCCGAGAGCATGCATACAACCCGTCCAACAGCAAATGGCGGGGTTCCTGGTGGTCCCATGCCCACTGGGCTTACTATGTCGCAATCTCACAACGAGGGAGTAACCTCCTCACCTGAAGACGGTGTAACGCTACGTTTTCGACGATATAAACTCAGCTCGACACCGGAAACTACCGTATAGATGCGAGCATATTGTATGAGATACTGTACGGGATTCGATTTTGTGGTGATATATGCAACACACATCTGCCAAATAAATTTCTATCACTTTGTGTTCAACAATTCAAGAAGAACAGCACTGCTTCATGCATTTTAGTATTTTAAACGTGCACAATATGGACACATATATAAGCTGTATACTGTAAGCTACCGTAAAAGAAAATAAATAACAGCAGAATGACCATCGCTGCTAAAACAGGAAGAAAAGAGAGGGGGGTGAAATAATTACAACACAAAGAGGTGATTTTAAAGGCAATTCGCGGCCATCTGCAGATCAAATAAGTAGTCAATTATAAGGCGCAGTTGATGTGTGATGAGCAGTAAAACCAGTTCTAGCATCAAAAAAATGCTGTCTCCTATGGACGATAAAAAGCAGAAGGCATTGCACTCAAAGCTTACTTACAGTTATAAAATATGATTTAAAAAAGATCAAATTACATAAAATTTCAAAGTAAAACGTTCAATGCAGGCAATCGCTGTAAAAGAAAAAGCAAGGAAGAACTGTACAACATGGAAGGCACAATCCTATGGAAATTGAGTGGCATTTTATAGCATTTGTTAGCAATAACATGAAAATAGTGATGGATAAAAAAACAATATACTTGATGGCGCTGACAAAGGAAAAAAAAGCAAGGCTTCTCAGGGTTCATTTTGAATTTGTCGCTCTGCACTACTAGCGCTATAGCGCGGTTTCGGCGTTCCTTCACCTAATTGGGTAGCAAATATTCGCATTTTGTCACGGAATCCGAGGCCGTCTGCCACTTGTTGTGTTTGTTGACGTTCCTAAAAATTTAAATTGGAATTTAATTGATTTAAGAGGTCCGAAAACGGTAATTACCTGCAGCTCATTTAACCGTTGCTGTCGCAAATCTCGATAAATCTCGTTGGTGCCATAGATCTGCAAAAAAAATTCCATATAAAGCAGGAAATATTGGAAAGATATAACAAAGATAAGAGAAAAAGAAATTGTGTGAATCAAGCGCTTACTCACCGATGGAGAATCCAGCAATTCTGTATCCTTGGGATCCTTGAATTGTACGCTCTTTCGTTCGTAACCTCCTGGGGATATGTTCTCGCTGAAAGTAACCCATTGTGGATACCCAAAAATTTTTCTTGCAAGTAGAGAATTACTAACAACTTATACAGAACACCAAACTAAGTATAGAAAACGATACTTCGGGCAATAGTTGAACACTACACAGTCTCTTTCAAAAAGTATGAAAATGATATAACAGCTTTGCAAAAACGCAATTCTGCTGGTGCATTTGTTTAAAAAATGTTCAAGCTCAACATTTTAACAACTGATAAACTGATAAGAGTACACAAATTGGGCACATTGATAGACATCAAAAATGGCAACTTTGATATATGTAAATTTAATTCATTCGTATAAGAAACAGGCATAATATCAATAGAAATGTTCCTATAAATGAATCCAAAAGGAAATTCTCACCGCATCGCACTCCGTCCAGGGCTCACGTCAACGTCGTCGATCAGCGTTTCAGTGCGATTTCCCGCAGAAAGCCTCGTCGTTTCAGCCGAACTATAGCTAGTAGTAGGTGCTACAACGGCAGCACTTCTAGCGTCACGAGTTCGCGATTGTTCCGTAGCAATGTTCAGCAACTCCCTGAAAACAATGTTCTTCCATGACACTCGAAAAAAAACGAAGAAGTGAGCAGATAAAAATACCTATATCGTCTCGTTTCATCCTCAGTCATATTGATACCTTTGGCATCCAAGCGATCTAGCTCTTGATTGACAGCTTCTCTGGTCTAAAATGTTAGTTTCGATCAAAATCAACAGCGGTAGAGCGATAGTTTAGAAATGCTCGGAGATCACTGTCATAATTTCAGCACGATTTTGCAGAGCGGAAACCAGTAACAAATTTGGTTCATAATGAGAGCATATCTCGCAAGTACGTGCAAATAGGCAAAAAAAAATTAGAAAGTAAACGGTCACTAATATGACAAAGCAGGGAAGGCCATACATTCTATTTGCTAACTGAACAGAAAAGGAATGAACAATGAAACTTACCATTAACGCCGTGTTGGTTCGTTCGAGATTCAGCAACTCCCTCTCGAAACCGGAAGAACGCGGGGGAGCCAAAACAACTCGTGCCTCTTGATTTGTAGCAGCTTGTAATGCCTGAAAATCAAAAGCATAACAGAACCAGCAGGCGAAGGATTTTGTTTGATCTACCTGTGTAAATGCGGTTGGAGCCATCACGCCAAAGGTGGTCGTTGTTGATCTCGGTTCGCTATGCAACCGAAGTGGTCCCCCATTCGACTCATGTTTTTCCACTTGCAGCGCAATCGGCCGAACTACGGCTGCTTCGGGAGAGCGCGCAGAAGAAGGGGCGCTGTAGTTCGGCGGTTTCGCGTACCCGCCAACATTTCCATTCGGAACCGTTGAAGGCGACGAAGGGCCTCTGGGATTGTAGCGGATCACCGGCACATTGCGTGACTGCTGTTGCACATAGTTCGGGTTGGGGTTCTGCTGGTTGACGCGACTGATCGGAGCAGGAAGAGAAGCCGAGTAGTTGGTGTTGATTGGAGGAAGATGTGACATATTATTTGTTGGTATTCTGTGTTCTTCACGTGGTGAGGAGTGTGCTGCCGGTGGAGAAGTTTGACTCTGAAATGCTAAGGAACAGTAAACAAACCGCTAAACAAGAGACAAAATAGCGCAATACACAGCACTTATGCGCAAAAACAGTAAGATCATAATCAATCAAAATCAACTACTTACCGCCTTATAAATGTCATGATTACTCTCTCTTAGACCAGCGCTACTGTACCCTTGTTGCTGCAGGGGATTCGGAGACCTATAAAAAATTCGAATTTAGATCGGCAGAGGAACTCAGCCAGTAGAAGTATCTGAATGTCTAGTTCATCTAATTGAAAGATGATCACTAAAGAAACGATAAGAGAAAATAACTATTTTTGGACGTGGGATAAACTTTACCCTATTTTCATAGAAAATGAAGATCCACAAAGACTCCATTGCTAATTTGTAAGCGACATTGTTTCAAAAAAAGGTTTACCTCGGCGGAGCAAACAAAGTCGTTGAGCTAGGAGGACGATAGAGCGATGAAGGAGATTGTGCTCTCCTCAGTGCCGAAGGCGATGAAGCTGAAGGTCTGCCTAAAAGCAAAGAATTACGTGATGTTGCAAAGAAGAGAACTTATTCCCAGTAACTCTAGGTCGCCAAAGCCAGAGCTTTTATGCTGGGCAGAGAACATATGTCGCCAATAGGTTCCACCCCCGTGAACAACTGATACGAGCTTGTAATGTACAGAAAGGCGCAGCTTATTGCAAACGTCCGCGCGAAAAGTCCCCTTGCGAGATAATGCCCTTCTTTTGTACAACTTCGCATACAGTATTTAGTGTCAAATAACGATTTAGCTGAAGTGGCTCACAAGTGGTGCTACACTAGTTGTGATAAGACACTGCTTTGAAACTAGATTCGTTGCTTGCATTTATTTTCTGAAAATGACAGACTTTTCCAGTGGTCTACTTGACTGCTCCACTGATTAAGATTGTCACTGAGTATCTTTTTTCCGCGTACTTTTGAAAAACTAGAGCAGATGTACATAGAGCAATGCATCCTAACAGCCGGCCCACCTGGTTGAATAACAGTGGGCCTATTCGAATGCCTATAATGGGCAGGAAGTCGATCAAAGCCCGTTGTCGATCCGGTAACAGACCTTTGCGAGTAGGAAGCGTTCGGCTGCAAGGACAAATTTGCATAGGCAAGTACGTACTTTGTTCATTGCTACAGCAAGAAAAAACTACTCACATCGCTTTGGTAAAGATCTGATGCCGATACCGATCGAACATGTCGATTTGGTTCACCGCCTATGCCAGATACGGGTGCGAAGGCCGACGTTCGATTATTTGGCACTAAAAAAACTTTGAGATCCTGAGAAAACGAAACAAAAATTTTGAGTGGTGGAAATAATGCTGCTGAAAAAAAAACGTACATGGCTGATGCTTCTGATATCCATTTGTCGTCTGTACGGACATTTGACTACCATAGCTTGGCAATGGAGCATAATTCGAATAATTTCCATTTCCATTAAAATGCGGTAAATGGCCAGTTTGTTGTGCTGGTGGAAATGAAGTCTGGTGGTGTGTAACTGGTGCCATTGGCTGTAAGAGATGAAGATAAAATTATAGTAATACGAGAGCATTGATTTTTAGCAAAGAAGGTCATTCTGACCGCAGTAGGAGCAGGTGGTTGACAAAGCCATGCAGAAAGCCCATTTCGTAGAGCTGCTCCTTTCCTTACGTCAAAACGAACTTCGGCACCGGCTCGAGCCATGTATTCGGCAGCTCTGAAGTTTTGATTATAACTCAGCTTCGCAAGTTAAAAAAGCGAACGCCTTAAATGCTGGATTCGATCAAACTTTCATATTCCTTCTGGAAAAATAACACAATAGGCAAAGACGTAAACAGAAAAACTATCTGGTAGAAAGCTGGTTTCTCGCCCAAAAAGGTAGGTTTACGGTCGCATTAAGTCCATTTTATGCGAAAGAAGCGCCAGTCAGCAGATTAACTTCTTTCAAACTGTTCTGCAAAAGTCGATGCCATACTTTATTTGTTCATGACTGAATCACTACCAGATAAACGTCCAACTTTGACATCGTAAGGTTATTCTATTGCCAAATCCAGCACTACAGCTTGTGCAAGCTACACAGTTCAAATACGATTTGAAGGCAAACTTCGCATGCAAACAGCTGTGCTGTGATATAAATAGGTGCAGCAAAAAAACCGCAATGAATTAAGGGTGAAGGCTAAAGAGATAAACAACACTGTTCTTTGAGCAGTTCTTGGATAGTCTCAATAAAATACCGCGATTAATGTTTGTGGAAAATAACACTAAATATTTAACTAAACCATCGATATTTTAAAGCAAGCACTCAAACTATTTAGAATGTTTTAATTTGATGAAATCTAAAAAATTTATCGAGGGGGGGGGGGGAGAGGAACGACAAAGAGTAAAGGGCGTGCATTAGCCATGCACCCCAAAAATTTAATTGCGAACTCATACAAAGCATTTCTTTTGATTATGTTAAAATTATTTCAGTGATTTACAAATAAAAAAAAATTTTATTTCTACAACTCATTGAGTTCTAAAAATTTACCCAATCTTGGGGGAAGGGAAGGCGGGGGTAAATCGCCACTAGCAAGGGGCATGGCTCGGCATGAGGTGGCTTTCCGAAAATGCAGAAAACGATGGCCCCCTTGCCTTTCCAGGAATTTTACGAAGTCCCCTTTGACCATAAACCGTAAATGTAAAACCCTCAGCAAACGAAACGTCAACTCAAAAAAGTCGTATTTTTTGGCCATAAAAACGTATCCCCTTTGCTTGTGTCCCAAATATGATATCCAAAGTGCTTATAAGCTAACTGTGCTGAGCCCTGGCCAGGGACTACTACAATCCACAGCACGTCTTGACCGATTCAGTGCAACTTTCAGCGCATTTTTTTTCCAAAAGCTGTAGAGGAGAGTGAATATCTAACCAGAAAGATAGCAGATTAAAGCATACGAATAACAGAACACGCGGCTGTTATTCTTAATCTGCTTTCCTAATAGCCAAGCGCTTGAGCGAAAGCAAATTAAGAGCTCGTTGTAGGCTTGAATGTTCAGCTTTTCAAAAGAAGGTGACTCTGATTGTAGTATGCTAGTATATCCAACCGAAAACCTCCATATGAAAGCAGAACTTGCGATATGAAGTAAATACATCCACACATCTCTCAATGGACCACATTGAATTTAGCGACTGATGGACACTTGAGTGATGAAAGTGCATCTAGTAAAGAGAGAACAAAATAAGAAAGGGCTAAATTATAGAACGGAGGAAGAACTCTTTATATGAAAGCACATAACTCTCCCCAAAAACTGGCGAAAACCATACATTCCTTCAGGGAACACGGCGAAAGATGGGAAGCGGAGTTTAATCATTTTTTTCATGCCAATTTGCACGTCTTTAGGAAGAGAAAAAATCAAATTTTCAGTGCTGGTCAGAAAGTTGTCGGAAGGATAAATAGTTAGAAGTACGTCCGTCACGAAAAATAATGATTAAGATCACGTATTTTTGATCCAAAATAATTACTCCAAAGCCGATCAGAGGGATCGTCTGACAAGTGAGCGCAACAACCACCACAAAACTATGCAAAACCAGTTATAAGTGTAGCATAAGCAGTGGCATTGCCACTTACTAAGCAATCTATGATTGATGACATCCTTTCACCGCAACTATGAATGTTTCGACCAAAACATAAGAACTCACTCTTCTTGTGATATTCCCAGCAATGATTGACCGTTGACTGACAACAACTGATCGCCCGCTGCCAAACGACCATCCTTGAACGAATTAACTTATCTTTGATGCAGTTAAATCAGTTCTGCGCTACTGTCAACTTGTGTTACTGGCAAAAAACCAACCTGAGCTGCCGGGCTTCCCGGAACGACTTTTTTCACGTAAATACCCACTTGACGATCGCCTACGCCCTGAAGACAATAGTATTTGACATGCTTCACATATAGTAAAAAAGCTGAAATCCAGAAGGTTAATTAAGTTAGCGTTTCAGTTGGCAATCTGACACCCTGATGTTTCCAGAAATTAATTTTGACTATAGTGCCACTTTCTCGTTGACTCCAAAAATTTTACGAGCCTTCTGCCAGACTTGAGAAACCATTGAGCTACCGTAATCCCAAATCGACAGCTCTCAATCGTTATATCGATTTTCTGGGTTATACTGGGTCTTCTGGCAGCTGCCATTGAAACATCACTTGTATACGAGATTTTTTGCCAATTCTCTGCTGCCAAATCCAGGGTCTGATTTTTTTAACTTCCGGCCTAACATATAAGCGATCCTGGCTCACCGAGGTTCGCAGAAATGCCCTAGTTTACTGACCTAACTTAACGAGTCCAGTAAAAAGAAACACAATAAAGTCATTTATGGGTGCGTAAGTGGTTGTACTCTCATAAAAACTCTTGCGACTTCGGTCCATAAAATGAACATTGAGACATCTCTTGAGATTGTAAGGTCAACTATCAAAACTGTGCTGAACAGAAAAATACGTTGCAAAAGGTCATGTGATTTTTGCAAAACATTCTGAGGCATCAATGAGTTTGTGTAGTTATGCAAGTTGTGTGATACGAATTAGCTGCATTTTCGAGGAAATCAATTTTATTCCTATTAATTCTAATTTGTATTTTATATCTAGCAAAATTAGGGCAACAGCGACCGCAACACCGGAATAATATGATAGTATGCAATGATCTAACCGATTACTACGAATAGCATTTACTAGAAGCAATCTCCGATCCGATTATCCATACTTCATTGCTAGAAAGTAACAATGAAATAGAGCAAAATGTAGATCACTACGTATAAAAGCATGAATTCGTGCACTTTCCCTAAACGATAGCAGATGGTAGACGAGGAGAAGCCAGACGAGAGGCGGACACGCCCCCTGTGTATTTCCATATGAGACATGTTTTCCTTTGTACCGAACCGTCTCGAATTTTTTTCGCGCATAGCTGTCGCCTAAGGACAAATTCCAGACTGTAAACAGACCATCACGAGTGGCACAACAGTCTCAAGACGATGTTTTCGCATAAGTCACATGACTGCATCATATGCGATCCTTGAGCAACATTCATAAAATAACGAGGCAAATGTTCCCCCCGGTCGAGGTTCAGTATACTATGTCGCCATTATCATGAAAAGTCGCCTCGTGCAAGGTTGTTGTCGCATCGTCTTACGTAGGTTTTATCTACATAAATCTTTTGCTTGCAGGTGGTAAAGATTTTCAACATTTCCAGTTTATGTTTCTGCCTTTGTGCGTTTACGTTTATTTATCGTTTTTTTTTGTTTCGTTTTTCTCTGCTTACACAAAAATTAAATCGCACAGATTGAGTGGGTTTCGTAGTAGAGCCAAAACCTGATGCTTTTCGAAGCATGTCTAAGAAATACTGCAAATGATGGAAATTTTGCTTTTCCAAGTTTTTGAGAAATCTAACTTTTGTCGTATTCCGAAAAGCGTGAAATTGCGTTCTCTTGTCGGAGGCGACGCCTCAGAAGAAAAAGCACTAAGACAACTACGCACCGCAGATAATGTCGAAATTTTGATCAAAAATGTTATCTGATGGACTTGTAGAAAGGTTAATTTGTGTAATTGGGTGTCGCTGGTGGGAACGAGGTTTTATCTCAGACTAATGCTGCTTTCGTTTCCAGAATTGAAAGTGCTCGAGTAATTGGGTATTGCTGGTGGACGAGTATATATTTGTGAAAATATTCCCTGTTGTATAGAAAGGAAAGCGTAAGTAACTGGATTTCGCTGGTGGAGACGAGCGTTACTTAAAGAAACGCTTGAGTCTGGGTCTCGTTGGTGAAGGTTTTTTTGCTTTGCTTGAAACTCAACGCTTCGGGTCTTTGGGTTTCGTTGGTGGAGGGAAGCGTTTACTCGGCGAAATTCTATGCTTTGGGTGACTGGGTCTCGTCGGTGGAGGAAAGCGGGGCGTCGGGTAAGGAACCAACGCCAGTAAGTGCTCTCGATGGTGGAGAAGCATTTACTCGCCGATTCAATGCTTTGGGTGATTGGGTCTCGCTGGTGGAGATGAGCTTCCATCTGGGAAAATTCAACGCTTCGTTGGTGGAGGAAAGCGGCGCTTCGGGTAACGATCTCACTCGTGGAGATGAGCTTCCACTTGGAGAAATCCAATGCTTCAGTAAGTGCTCTCGATGGTGGAGGATAGCGTTTATTTGGGGATTCAACGCTTCGGGTCTTTGGGTCTCGCTGGTGGAGGGAAGCGTTTACTCGGCGAAATTCTATGCTTTGGGTGACTGGGTCTCGTTGGTGGAGATGAGCTTCCATCTGGGGAAAATCCAACGCTTGAATGACTGGGTCTCGTTGGTGGAGGAAAGCGGCGCTTCGGGTAACGATCTCACTCGTGGAGATGAGCTTGCACTTGGGGAAATCCAACGCTACAGTAAGGGCCGCATGCACTAACATCCCCTCCCCAGCGGGGAGGTTAGTGCATGCGGCCCTAAGTGTGCTCTCGATGGTGGAGGAAAGCGTTTACTTGGGGATTCAACGCTTCGGGTCTTTGGGTCTCGCTGGTGGAGGGAAGCGTTTACTCGGCGAAATTCTATGCTTTGGGTGACTGGGTCTCGTTGGTGGTGATGAGCTTCCATCTGGGAAAATCCAACGCTTGAATGACTGGTCCTCGGTGGAGGAAAGCGGCGCTTCGGGTAACGATCTCTCTCGTGGAGATGAGCTTCCACTTGGGGAAATCCAACGCTTTAGTATGTGCTCTCGATGGTGGAGAAAAGCGTTTACTTGGGGATTCAATGCTTCGGGTCTTTGGGTCTCGCTGGTGGAGATGAGCTTCCATCTGGGAAAATCCAACGCTTGAATGACTGGTCCTCGGTGGAGGAAAGCGGCGCTTCGGGTAACGATCTCTCTCGTGGAGATGAGCTTCCACTTGGGGAAATCCAACGCTTTAGTATGTGCTCTCGATGGTGGAGAAAAGCGTTTACTTGGGGATTCAATGCTTCGGGTCTTTGGGTCTCGCTGGTGGAGATGAGCTTCCACTTGGGGAAATCCAACGCTTGGATGACTGGGCCTCGCTGCTGGAGGAAAGGGTTCACTTGTGGAAATTCAACGTTTTGGGTAACTGAGTTTCGCCGTTGGAGATGGGTTTCCACATAGGAAAATCCAGCGCTTGAACTACTGGGTCTCGTTGTGGAGGAAAGCTTTTACTCAGGTTATGCTCTTCCGTGTGGAAGAGAAAGCTTTTAGATAACTGGGTTCCGCTGGTGAAGATGTGTTTCTGTTTGAGGAAATTCCACTAGCGGTAACTGGGTCTCCTGTTGAAAATGCTTCTATTAAGGTGATCACTAAAAAATGGGGCACCTAGAGAATAAATGTAGATTTCTCAAAAAAAAAGTGATTAAACTTTCCAATTTTGCTAGATATTAGAATAAATTGTTCTCTTTCAGAAAATACCTATATAATGTCATTTACATACGTAATAATTTTTAGAGTGGCTGATATTTAAAGTTAGTCACTTTGACAAATTATAAACTTTGGGCAGTATCTGCGCAGTGAAACATGTGAGACCACCCAAAGTACCACTGCTGGAGTGGGTGGTGGGACAGTCACTAAACCCACGACAGCTTGATGGCCTCAACTTTAAAGTCAGGAGATATAGCCATTAGTAGCTTCGAGAACAAAGATACGGGTTATTCAATTCTTTGCAGGTGAACGCATGTTTTCTAGGTGCCATCTGATAGAGCTTTTTACGCTCTATCCATTCTTATGCAGCTTACCTCACATTTCATCTATCTTCGGAAAATACAGATTGAAAATTGATTTATTGGTTTTTGTTGCGCCAAAAAATCGCGATTTTTCAGGTGTTCCCTTTTTTAACCCAGAAATAGAAAGGTATCCTGTATGTTTAATATATTGTTTGAAAGAGCATGAAGAGCTCTTTCGAATAGTATATCAATTGCTCTATAACTTTGCGGTATGGCAGCGCAAGAATGAGCGATGTTCAAAAAACCCTGTTCGAGTCAGGGCGCCACGCGTAGGGTTGTGGGAGAGGAGCGTTGAAGCTTTGCCAGAATAATAGGCGAAGGTTGCTTATATAAGCGACGTTAACGTTGCAGCCTGCTTGTTGTTGATCTAAAAAGAATCTCAAAATTTAATAAAAATCAAGCTGCCCCATTTTTTAGTGATCACCCTAATAATTGGGGTTATACGCTTGAGTAGTGGATCTGGCTGGCGAGCTGGTGAAAATGAGCTTCTGCTAGGTAAAGCATCAATTATCCTATAGGAAAGGCGGTTGGGAACGAGCGCCTATTTAGAAAAATTTGCTTTTCTTTGAAGAAAGTAAAGCATTCAAGTAAGTGGGTCTCGCTGGTGGAGATGAGGGTTAATTCGAAAGATCTTCCTATTTTGTATGAAGGAGAGCTTGATGATTGAGTCTGGCTGGTGGAGCCAACGCTTTCCATAAAGGATTATAGCGGGTAACTTTTTCGTACATAATTGGCAAAATTTGATCGATGATTGAAGGGCAGGGCATATAAAGAGTAACAGGGTTTCGTTGTTCGATGGCAGCTGACTCTTCAGAGAGGTCACCGGGGGCGACTTGGTGTCGCTGTATCGCAAAATCCGTAGAAGAAAATTGTTCTGGGAGTGCGTGTTGAGGAAATTCTGTTCTTGTTGAAAGCGAAGCGTGTGAGTGAGGATCTCATTGATGGAGGCCATGCTTTCAAGCGAAAGGAACTTTTTCGGGAAGTGCGTATATTCCATAGATTTTCCAATATCTCATGAAAATCTGCTTTGTAGACGTTTTCATGGGGAAACCTCACCTAAACTTGTAGAAAAGCGAGTTATTGACGAGTCCCGCAAAATAAAAAGGCTCAAAGTTCAGGGTAGAGTATCAGTTCAGAAAACTTTTTCAGATGCTTCCACCCGATAAGGAGTCTACCTTGGAGCAAATTTGATGATTCGAGGGAAATTATGTTCAAGTAAAATAAAATGCAGGAAGATGTCATTGAGATGCACAAACTTCCAAAACATATGCTTCGATCCACTTATAGCGACCCGCAGGGTCGCTAGTCAGTAAAAAGACAAAAAGGGGCCGGAAGGGGGGAGGGGGAGATATTACCTCAGCAATGAGAAAAAAACAAAAACAAAAAAAATGTTGTGTCAACACTCGCGCTTAGCATCGAATGCAGAAAATATTCATTTACAGGTGTTTCAAAAAGAGTTCTTCTATGTCAAACATACCATTCCGACTGAAAGAAAGAAAAAAGTGAATTTCGCAGATGCTTCGCTAGTCCTCTTCTACAACGCTGAGGCTGATTTGTTATAAACTCATGAGGTTTTTCAAGAACTGAGGAAAAATAGATAATACAGAAGCTCAGGTATAACACAATGTCCATCAGTAATATAAGGCAGATTAAGCCAACCAAGACAGAAAACAAACCTTGTAGGCACAAATCCATACCATCACGGCAGAAGGTGTTTGGTGGACATGAATTTGATGATAGCGTCACGGTACAAATATGTTTAGGGCAGGATCTTTTGTAAGGCGCAGCAAAAAGACAATATTCCGGTGCTGATGAAAAATGCTATGTTCAAAAACGGTGTTATAGAAGGGCCTGGACAGTGGCGGTTGGCTGTTGACCGCGACGTTTTCGCGAGACGGTGCTTATCTCGATTCGGTGCGCAAAAGTTGCCGATTTAGATGTTATGATTGGCCAACACTTTCGAGGAACGAACACCTACGGAAGTAAGGACAAGGACTAGTTTGGTGCAAAGCGGTCGGTCTCACTCGCACATGGAGAAAGGGGATTACTTTAGGAGAGGAGAACGGAGGGAAGAGAACAGAACTTGACTGATGGTACCTCATCATCAAATCTCACTGCATGTCAGAGCAAAACTGGACTAGGTTGGCATGAGATATGTAAACAGACAAACCACCCAGCCCTTGTCAGATATTGTTAAGAAAAGAAAAACAGGAAGGAAAGAATTGGTAAATATTGGAGTAAGAATCTCACCTGAGCTGCCACAATACTAAGCCCTATACCGCCTCCACCACGTTTCAGCACCACTCGAATAATATCTTCACCCATGCTTCCGAAGCTATCACCCTAAACTCACAAGCACTTTTGAAGAGAGGCGAAAATCACCATAAAACCATGCAGATTATAAAGCACATGGAGCTACCGCATACCATATGTTAGAATCAAAAAACACATGTTTGACGCCGAGATGAGAATCAAAGCGCACAGATGTGAAACAGCAATCTCACAGTGAATGGAAATTGTTAAAAATTTACGACGTGAGCGATGTAGATTATAAACTCACAAATGCTGCGTTTGGAATACTTTGAAGCGTTGATTGAGAAGAAGTTCGAGCAACAGCCTTAGGAGCTGGAGGTGAAGGCTGCTGTTGTTGTTGAACTGGAGGCGGTGCTGATCGTTGCTACAAAACAGAACAAAATTTGTAACATAGATGATTTTTACCGCTAACTCCTTACAGTAGTCGGCGACGATTTCCAACTAGGCGGAACCGCTTCTTGAACTTGTACTGAATGACACAATCCCTTTTCTTGAAGGGATAGCAAATATTGCACAAGACCGTCGGGAGCTCCCTTCAGTTGTTCTGGAATTCAAATAGTATAAAGGACTTAGCGATTAGCACAAAAGTCCTGACCAGCTGTATAGCCGTCTTGTGGTAACAAAAACAGAAGAAGAAGTTGCTCTGATTCTGCCAAGGTTACGGCATGACCATCCTGAAATTGCAGTTTTCATTCCGCATTAATTCAAACACATGTAACTGGAAACCAGCTAAACGAATGTAAGAGGAAGCAGTGTTCAATAAACAGGCTAGTAATTCCCTGTGGTTTTACACTTAACAGGTTGGCACATAAGTTTTGCAACTAGTTTTATAACTTTCCGCTTCTTGGATGCAGCGCTCTCATTTTTGGCGGAATCTGGATTGGGTGAAGTGCTGGAAATGTGCGCAAATCGTTTGATTTTCGGTGACTACGCTTTTTTCGAAAACTTGGTCAAATGAGAGCGGAAATTCAGAAATTCACAGGGTTAAAAACGAAAATGAAGCCAAAAATGAGAGCGACCTGTGTCAAACGCACCAACTCAATCTGCACAAAGATCGTTGAATTTTCACCCAGCAACTATCACTGCACAGTTTCGGGTTGATACGTTTGATTAACACTGCGAACTGCTTCATTTTTATTCTTGACATGGTGAAATTTCTGATGTGACCGGTATTTTCAACAAAAAAAAAAGAACCATGAACTCACAAAAACTATCTCACCGGCCATATATGGCTAGCTCAGTCTGAACGACCCACCTACGCATATTTGAATCTACATTAGAAAGTGAGGAAACCTGGATATCCCAGATATTCCATGATATATAGGCTACTGTATGACGAAGGCGCAATACCTCCGGGCGCAAACGCTGCTTTATTAGCCGCAGAGCGTATGACGCGCAGGGTTTACAACGGTGAGGATAGGGCGCGCCGCGTTCACGACCGCTCAACTAATACTGCTTCTGCGCCTTTGTCCTGCAAAAGCCTTTACAATTGCACACTTTGAGTAATGGAAAAGATTTTCGAGAGCGACATTTAGGACAAATATGTACTCAAGACTTGATGCTTATCAAAATCTACCTTTCTTATCCGCCAAACGCTTTTCTAGGAAAGCTGTGAGCTCTTGTGTGCGAAAATATGGTTAGCTTTACGAAGAAGAAGGCAGCCCGGATCAAGAACATGAGAAAAAAGGATGGATGTTCATTTGACATCAAACCGACACGCACGGTAATTATGAAGTAATTTACACCTGTCTACACATCCACTAATGGAGAACGGCGTATAACAACTTGATGAACCCCAAATTGGATATGAAAGCTCATAACTTTCTACACGTGATGACTGGAAGGCCAATCGTGATCAGCGCCTCAAGCTCTACGCAATAGTTGACACATTAACTCCAAATCGCCTCTTCTAGTAAAGATCTTCCCTTGTAAGTCATTTCAGCGGAAGCAAAACATGATCTCCGAGAGGCGGAATTGCCGAAAAAAACTAGTCATTCCCTAAGACTCTAAGGGGTGCGGGTTTTGGATTACAGTAGATGCTTTTATAAAGGGACAAAGCGAGACGATGCCATTGAGGCAAAACTCATGCAAACTCTCGAACGAAAGGTGGGAAAACGCTTCAATTTTGACATTTCCATGCACTTCGGAGAACATAATCGGATTCAGCGCGACAAAAACATCTAGGAAAGGCCTGAGAGTCAACTGACTTTCCATAAGTCTTCAAGTGAGTAGGAAATCAAACAAAACTATATGGAGTGACAGTCATTCATATCACTCAATAGGATGGAAATCTATTTAGTTTGGTGCTGTGATGCAAACATCAAATTCAATGTTTAGAAAAAAATCCAATAGCCAATCGCTCTCAATAAATTGCATCAATGTTCACTTGCTCAACCTCCATTTACAGTATTTATGCGATACAGTCTCTTCGTAGTTTGAGAAAAGAATGTAGAATGGAACGACAAGAACTCCAAGTTGTGGTCAGAGAGCGGGTGACCGGTTGTCTATAGGAAAAAGGCATGAAAATTGAATGGCTTCCAAAGGTAAGGCAGGAGTTTTGTTTACAATGTTTTTCTTTCATTATGTAGTATGTAAAAAAATAGATATTTCATGAATGCGCTACACTTTAGATAATACTCTAGATATACATCACACATACTCTAGACAAGTAATAGGAATGAGAATTACCTGGAGAGTCAATGCATCTGCTTGCCGTTCCGATAGTCCAACAATTCGTGTTATCACGTCATTATCGCAGGGAATCTCTCCGTCTTGAGCAATAAAATGTGTGAGCAAATGGCGAACCTTTAAAAGATTAATGCATCAAAGTGACATGGAAATTAACAAATTTGGTAAGCACAGGGCAGTAAATTAGGGCATCAGCAGAAAAAAGAAGAAGGAAATAGAGTTTATGGCAGATGCAGTATAGGGGACCGGTACTGCTGCCGCAATGCTCAGAAATGAGGCGTGCTTTTTATTTTAATACTGTTCAACAGTTTTCCATTAAAAGGGTTTACAGCCCATTTTTAGATGAATGAGACATCTGTAGAAAACGGTTCAAACCAAGAAGAGACAGGTTCGAGACACGTAACGCGCAGAGAATAGTAAGTGACTTCTTCAACCGAAAGAGAATTGCAGTTAATTTCAGGTCGAGCCAATCACCCATAGAACGCATATCGCCAAAACTTATAGGCATTGCGCTACGTGAAGCATAAAAACAACATAGTACATCTCGCACCACTTTAGACTTTTGAACACAACGATAAATCGAAACTTAAGGACGCAGTGAAGAGCTTCACCAAACATCGTATGACATGAGAAAACAATACACACTCCTCAGTATTAGGATGATGCAAAAATAAGTACCGTTTTACAATTCTCACTTTGATGTGCTATAACTTTCTGAAAAATCTACATTTTTGGATGCGATGAAAACTTTCAGAAGTATTGCGCCACCACATTCATAACCCACGTCACAAAGGCGGAAAGATACGAAATGGGAAACAAAAAAAATTTTTTTTTCAAACCCTTGATTTTGACGAATAATGACAACCTTCAAAGATTGTTAGTAGATGATAGACATACCCTGTAGCCTCAAGCCAGTGAGACAAAGGAAGTTGAAAAGGGTTTCTACAAAGAAATTTCCGAAGTGTAAGCTTTTCCCAATATTTTTTGAACAAACATGAAAGGTTCAAATTATGAAATTTTTTGTTTTCAAAAAAAATGTCGATAGGATGCCCTACCCTTAAGGTCACAGAAACGAGTAAAGCTTTGGCAATTGCCTTCTTCAAGAGAAATTTATGGGTCACAGAATGACCGCAACCGCTATCCATGTTGAGGCGCCGATAACTCAGCCTAGAAAATTTCAAAGAAAACAACCAAGGGAGCGTAATGTAGACTGTTTATTCACTTACAGAAGCTGAGTTATCGAAAAATATTCTGCCCGAAAAAATGAATGCAATGAAATTTTAATTTCAAATGCGGCTATTTGAAGCTTTGCAACTTCCTAACAGATGTTAGATAGAGCATAAAAAGAGCTTTTTAATAGTTTCAAAGAATCTCAAAGAAGTAATTTTGATGGAAAAAATTTGTCCCTGAAAAAAGGCTTAGAAAAACGGTCTTATTTTTGCATCAACTGATACATAGAGTTCTTCTTTTATTCACGCAAAAACCGACAAGACCGCGGAAAAATTCATTTTTTGCGCACGCCCCTTTGACCAGGCAAAGGGAATGTTTCATCTTAATTTACAATGATTCCAAAATCATTGATCTTATTTATATCTTACTACTTACTTTGCCTTCATGTCAAAAGATATTAAAATAAAGTCTGGGTGTAAAATTTTGATGAGTTCTTGCCAAATGGTCACACAACGAAAAGCAAGTTCATTTGAAAAAAATCACATGCGAATAAATGGACAAAATTTTGAAAACTTTAAAGTGCGAATCTCTATAACTTTGTTTAACTCGCTTGACACCTCTGAACATGGATATGAACTGACCAAAGAGCAAAATGTTGACAATTGGAAAAAAGGAAAAGAACGGTCAATTCTTCATATCTCTTCCAGAACAGACGAATAAATTTTGAACGTTAAAATGAAGAAGCATGCCAAAATTTGCAAAAATATTGGAAAAGATGTGAACTACCTATGCTGTTGTCAACAAAATTTACTGAACTTGGCTTAAGTCTCAGTGCATAAAACAAACCTGTAGACTATTCAATTTATAGCAAGTTGCTCCGAGTGCAGCCACGTCGTTCTTCTGAGCAGCCAAAAGAGTCGCTGCCTGTCGACTTCTGTCCAAATGGCATTCGGCGGCCAATTCAACTCCCATTTGTTCTGCCCACCTAGAAAACATGGTCACACTCATTACCCTTTTCTAATGGTATCTATCAAACACTTGACAGGATGTACATGGAACACTGTTCGAGAGGTAATCGAATTAAAAAATTTAAACATGAACTCGCAAAAGAAAAAAGAAAACGTGAAATTGAGAACGTCACATTAGCAAAGGTTGATTACCCATGTATAGCAGCCAGCCTTGCTTGCAGACATTTTCCAAGACGGGTCGTCAGCTGCACGCTCTGCAAAGCGAAGTTTTGTGAAGCGATCCGGACAGAAAATTATTATCGTTCCCTGAATAACGAGAGAAAAAACTCACACTGGTTGCTACACCGACCAGAGAGTTGAACAAGGTTGCGTTAATGGCATGTAGAACATGACTACATAACTGGATGGTTAAGGCTGCATTTAGACGAGAGGCACGAGCAGCGCGAAGGGTGCCATCCAGAAGAGTGAGAAGTTCGTCTAAAAAACTTATGGGGAAATAATAATGCAAAAGAGATGAAATGATTTTGAAAAAAAATGCGTAATGCCATTACAATACATGATACTATACTCGTACAATAACGTATATATTGTGCAAAGAATCCCTTCAAGATATGCAAAAATATATCCAAAAAACTGGGAATTTCCAGCTGGGCAAGGGTGAAAAGTATCATAATAAAAATACTATTAATGTTGATTGAGACTCACTGCTTCCATCTTCCACCGGGATGTTCACATCGAGCATGGGTTTGCAAGCTGGTCGAAGCGCACCCAAAAGCACCGTACACAAACGACGGAAAACCGTTTCTACTACATTACCAAGTTGTCCAGACCTAAAAACAGTTCTGAAGCGGCAGATCAAAAACATTCAATAACTATTTATGCACAAAAAGAAAAAGTACAGTACCTTGGCGTTCTTAGATCTGGATCACGATCTACTAGGTAAGAGAGCTCACTAGCGTTCGCCAACCAAAATAATAACTCATCGCGAGATGTGCATTCCTAAATAATGAGAAATCATGTGCTTTAAATCTTACAACAGTTTTCTTTCCCATGCGCAGAAGCAGCAATACTCCACTTCCACATTTCCAATCAAATCATCAAAATTGTGCTGGTCAGATACTAATACTACATAATTCGCAGATAACTGATTGGATCAAACATTTTTTTGAGAAACTTATTCGTGGAAGTGCTAATGTGGCAAAAAACCTTCAATTCCATGAAAAACGTCTTACTCTAGAAACTGCAATCAAACTGTATGTGACGTCATCGCATATTTGATAAAAAAAAATTAGTGAGTTAACTACTTGAATGGCGATTTTCTGCTTCATCTCAACAAAGATGGTAGATTTTTTATTGGTGGCTGACGTTATCATGCCAAGATTCAAAGAAGGTCTATATAGAATATCTTTCAGTAGCTTCAACTTCGACTTTTCGACAACAAAGCTTAGGTGATCATGAGCGCACCAAAACTGTTGCTATGTTGCCTATACTCATAGATATCTAGGTGATGATAGATGCACTCTAGTCACATCTTCAGCTAACTTCGAGTATCGAGACAGAAGATGCACCGAATTTTTCACTTGCATACAAATAAATCACAAAATCAACATTGCCCTATGAGCAGGAGTGTTGGTTTTATTACCATCTTCGGATGATTCAACTGCTTTGCAACGGCATTTTTGTGAAGAATCTAAAATTTTTATTCTCCAGTCTTTGCCCGAGTAATATCATCACTAATAACGGTTTCCTATTTGATAACGATCAATCTTTATGAGTGCTTGAAGATACTCTAAGGAAAATAATCGCAAAATGTGTCGTTAATGACGTCGAAATAAAAAAAAGGATGACTAGTAATTTGGGTTGGAAGCCCTTTCTAGAGTACTTTCATTTTTCTTCTTGCACCTTTGCAACACCGTTCCTAGTACAAATATCACACATTCACATCAAACTTCGGGCATATTCTTGGAAACGGTTCGCGCTATATTTGGACAAACACAATCGCTTGACTCACCTGCGATATCTGATTCATATGATGAGCAATGCGCGTAAAAAATTGCACTAGGTAAGGTTTCGAGTGCGACTGGAAAAATCGCAGCGCCAAGTAGAGCGAGTAAGCAGGAGAAAGGCGAAATTGGCCAGAATCTGACCATCCTCGCGACATCACCTGAAAACGAAATTAATTCACGAGCTTCTTTGATTTGATTTTGATCCCCGCACCTCAACCAAGTAGTCCCACACTTTATAATCGCCTATTTGTAATGATACAGGTAGATTTATCCCAGAGCTAGGAAGCGCTCCATTCAAAACCTGCGTGGCGCCAATTGGGGCCAAACTTTGCACATTAGGCGCACTCATTCCAGCGTCTGCACTTTGACGTCGGGTGGTTGTGGGTGGGCCGTTAAGGCTGAAAACTTGCACACATTTACTGAAAGGGTTTGTGTTTTAGAAGATCTTGACTAGTATTCAAAAACACAGAAGAAATATTTAGTTAGTGGTTAGTGACAGACATGCAGCTCAAACCACAAAAAACATTGTTACACAACATTTTCCAAACATCACTCACAGTGCTTTTAACTGATTTGACGTCACAACGCTGTGCTCTGGATCGTACATGCATTCCAGCAAGCCATGAGCTGAGGCGTAACGCCTCATTTTCGAAAGCGTTACGATGAGGTTACAGTGTGATTAGTTGCTAAATTTAAAACGCAGGGTAAGTTATCGAGCGTATCGAAGCAGCTGAATATACAGAGTGAACCCAAAAAACGCCACCACCGTTCAGGAGCTGATATTTTGCCCCAAACTTCGATTTAGAGGCATTTGAGCAATTTGATAACAGCTAAAGATAATTCGCTGAAGTTTGAAAATTAACCAAGCCAAAAACTATCAAATTTTATGATACACACTTACCAAAAAAGAACATCACTGGATGTCAAACCGCAAAAACATCAGCTTGTCCTTGATCATCAGCTACTTTGAATAGATCATCTTGCTATTGTTAAATTAGATCATCTTACTCTTCTTAAACTCACAGTACAGCAAAGTTCATGTACTGTACGAAAGTATAAAGCCCGAAACTCTCTCAAAACTCTTGGTTATTGTCAAAAATTTTCAGGAAGAAATATTTTCCTTATGGAATTCCCATCTTGATAATGCCCTAACAGAGAATCATGATTAGTTACAAACGGTGAATTCAAGCTGTACCAAGGTATAAGGTTCAGCACCCATGGAGCATAAGTAAGCTTCTCAACAGTGGGAACATTTTTTGAATACTTCGAGTATATGATAGAATCCGCCACCATATGAACATAATATAATGTTAACACGAACAATGTGAGGGCGGAATTTTTTGGCGTTCAAAATATGGAGATGCTTGGAAGAGCCTTTTATTAGAAGTGAATAGCGCTGTTCGCACAAAATTATGTACTCATCCGCAGCGTTTCCGGACTATAGTACAAAAGGCTGGAAAGCAAAATCGGGACCGAGAAGTTGTTGAACATTTCCGCTAGTCTTATCAAGAGAGCTAGGGCAGTCGAGATACAAGTACATACGACTGGCTTGCGTCAGAAATCACTGTCAATATGTGATGAAAGCAAAGATGAAATCAGTCCAACAAATGAGAATCTCCTAATGTTCTGTATATCTTATCAGAGCATTCCGAGAATATGGATTGCGTGCAACATAGCACCAAGCAAAACTATGTGCACTTTGATCAGAAAGGTAGCACCAGATTTGCACATAAGAATCATGAGGTGTGCCACCGAACAAAGATTAGCTAGGATTGTTGCACTACTAAAGCAGCCGTTTCTCTGCAAAACAGTGCTAAACTCTAGTTCTATTTGAGCAAAAAAGCAAAAAAGGAATTGCAAACAGAACACCTGAGTCTGCATATAAAAAAAAACATCAGAAAAATAAGCATCTAAAGGTATCTGGCAAGTTTGCATTGAAAAATGGAGAATCCACAGCTGAGAAGTTCGTTGAATCATCACAGGATGTACACCAACGAAGACGCAATTAGCCAGTTGCCACGGTGGAAAACGCAGCAGTTCATGAGGCTGTAGTTCTTATAAATTTTTGAAACCATCGATTTCAACTATTATGAGATGAAGATCATGATGAAGAAGCACACATAATGAACATAACGCTGAGCGAAAAGGAAAACGAGCCCCATATGCAGGGGGGCTCGGGACAGCTGGCACCGGATCAAGCTGGATATCGTTGTTGGAACAAAAAGCAAATGGATATCGTTTTCGTGCCCGAAAAGACACAAATGCGATGTTTTTTAGCCGGCGTTTCGTTTTTTTAGGGTTTTCTTAAGTTTAGGGTTTAGGGTCAAAGGGAACTTCAAACTTCATAGAAGATTTCAGGATCAAAGGGGCTTCGTTCTGAAATTTCCATGGTGCCAGCTCGTGCCGAGCCCTGCCCACAGGACATTTTGCAGAAATCATTCTCATGATCATTGAGATCTGGCTGAGTTCTTGAGAAAAACGGTTGAAAAAGGACGTAAACGGATTAGCGTCAATTTCAGCGCTTCGATGAGAATGACGACAACGAAAACGATACGAACTAGAGCAATCAAAAAAAAAATTCTGCAACAGCTTCGCGTCGAAGTGAAATTGTTGCTTCCGATGCTATGACAAAGGTACGTGAAGAGTGCGATTGCATGACATCAACGGATAAATAATATCAGAATAGAGGAGATATCCAGGATTTGAGCGTGTCATCTAATTGTAAGAAATCGGCAACTTTGATTGCAATCGATAGTCGAAGCCAGAAAACTTTAGATTGCATCGAACTTGACAAAGTTCAATCCAATTAGAAAGATATGCACGTCATCTAGAGAAGGATCTCGGCTTTCGTGAAAAAAAATCTGACAATGGAGACAAGTTTGCAGAGAGCCATTATGAATTATGTCATTGGTTTTTGAACGATGTTGCTGAGCGTATTAAGTGGGAAATGGGCTTTGCGAAAATTGTTTGCCAGATCGTACAATGCAAAAGGTATCCATATATGGTGTCTGTTTATATTTTGGGAAGCACAATCAAAGCAGGATACCCAAAATCGCATCAAAAATTATAATGTGGTTTGCAAAAGGCTTCTTTAGGAGCCACAAGAATTCCACTGAGCGGCGAACAGTTGGAACAGAAAGCTAAGGCGCACAACGAAAGTCCTTGAGAGCCACTTATCAAATGTATAAGATCAGTTATCTTTGCCGCTAATGCGTCAAAAACAGCCCTTGCTCAGAAACTCTAGTCAGCTTTTCATACTGGATCAATCAAGACGAACGCACACGATGAATACAAATTTGCTTTCTGCCACTTCCACTCATAATAAAGACTGTAAGATACGAGTAACTAACTGGTAGAGTTTCCTGGACTAAGTATTTATGAATGCTAGAAAATACTACAAAAAGACTAGTCGTTCAAAGACATCGAATTCTTTGTAATCTCAAACATGAGTGGCTACAATTTGTCTTCAGCAAGAACGCAAACAGTTTGCTAGTACAAACGATGGTAACCACCAAGTTTTCGAAGGCAGGTTGATTTTAGTAAATCCATGCTTGAGAAAGACCTCAGTAAGTCTTAGACCCACGGTAATGAGGATTCGAAAGTTTTGCGCAGACAGTCGAGAGCAGTAAGTTCACAAAACTCAAGTACCCATACAGATGCAAGCTCCATAAAGGGACAATAAGATTTCGAATTCAACTTCACAAGTGAAAAAGAAAACCCTTGTTCAGAAAAACACTATGAAGACCTCGTCAGGAGGAAGCGAGCGAACACATTCCTAATTTTATGCGTGGTATCAACGTATTGTGTTCAGTTTAAGACATTGTGGTCAGGACATTAATGGCTCCAGCTGGTGATAACAGTGATAACAGATGATTGCCGATAATGCGCTGTAAGTTGCTCACTAAAAGGTCAAAAAGGTTTAAAGCGTGGCTTCTAGGAAAGCAATGCATCTTTCAACATTCTAATCTTCTTACGAAATGAAAAAAAGCAGTCTCAACCATGGCAAGCAGAGCTGCTGCATGGACACAACAAAAGCCTAGCGTGATAGGTCTCTTCGACAAAGGAATAACAGTTTATAGCAAAATGAAGACAGCTAAAGGAGATAGCCACTTTAGGTTGTCAGAAAAAAGACAGTGACGTAACTAAAAATTCAGAATAATTCAAATTTTGGATGGATGTTACCGAAGATGAGTTGAGGATCAAGTAATGGGCCGGCGGTGGCAGAGCAGGAAGAGAACAGATTGAGAATAAAGCACTAAGCAGGTAGTGCTTGATACATCACAAAAATGAATGGAGATAGGGCAAATGTTCAGGTAGAAAATGCTTGACGCTAATATATATTTGACATCCCTCAAGAACCTAACCGAAAATAAAAACAGATGGACCAACCGCAAGTAATTAACCTCGCGCAGATGTTATGCTGCATCAAATAAGATCCTCAAATTGAGAACTCGTTGGTGAGTCAAAATATAATAAAATAAAACACTTGAAAAGTTCTTAGGCAGTAAGATGACTGCTTAGGCGATAGCTTTGGCATGGATGCCACAAGTATGCGAAATGACTCATGCGTACAGCAAACATTCGACGCTAATCACACAATACATTCGCCCACATTTGAACATTCCACGTCTTCCGAAAGGAGAAGACTCGTCGCCATTTTGGGCATACAAAGTCCTGCACCAAAGCTTGCGCATTTAGCGAATACAAGCACACAACAGCCGACAGTATCCTTGGTGGACGGTGTTAGTCGAACATTTGTAGCGAAGAAAGACATAAAACACCTGACTCATAGCTTTTCATGCAAAACGTCTTCGATTAGCTATCATGCACAAGTGAGAGAACGGACACAACGATCTTCATCTAGGGAATCAATATGCAAAACGCACCTGGCTACGTTCATCATCGCATGTGAAAGGGTGCTATAGTCGGAATGTTGGAGCTGATCAACGTCTCGCGGCTGAAAAGAAAAAATTCTTGCAGATACGCGGGTGCTGAAAAACTACTCAGTGGAGATAGATATCCTGAGAAGCAAATTTCAAGAATCTGAGCCAATGAAAAGGGCGTTGTCGAAGCAGTTTTACCTCAATTAAGAAGGGGAGGAGGGAGGTCGCGAAATTCTTATGAATACTTTACATTTGTTGTAATTAGGCCGAAAACTAATTTTTGGAACAGAGATAACCTTATAACTTTACATAAATTGAATCACTTTTGCAAAGAGGATTTTTTGGTATATCCCAAAAATTTGCACGACCGCCACTGGTTTACTAGGCTAGCGCAAAAACAATACATGCTTTTCCAGACCCTATTTCCCACAACTTTTTTGCGAAATAATCTAGAGAGCTTGCAGTAATGTTTGTTATCATTTAACGGAACTTTACATACCCGCACGCAAACCAAAATTCAGTGGAGTCATAACGGATCGGAATCTTCATAACGGGTCGTAATCTTTCTTGGGACTTGAAGGTCTACCACAGATACTTAACAATTTCAGACTCTATTTTTTTCCTCGCAGTTGTCCTCAGAGCTCATCTCATTTACTCTTGTATTACTGGTTGACAACTACAAAGTAAACTGAACCAACCAAACCAACAAAACTTATAATAGGGGTACTTCCTCAAAAAAAAGTTTCAGAAATTGTGAGTTTTTGTTGTTTTCAATTCACAGTTGCCCCTGCGATTTCGTGGGCTTGAGTGTGTGCTGAGTTGCAAGAAACTTTATGCTATTGACGGTGGCAATGGAGAATTCAAATGTTTTGCAAAAGCCATAGCTCATAGGAAAGAAGTTTTAGAAAACATGCATTATTTCTGCACCGAAGCGATATTTATGTTTGAACGGCAGCTAAAAATCAACAAAACCAATGAAAGTTGCAAATAGTCGCATGATTCGTGTATGACTACTTTTGTATATGTTCGGGCTACAAAAGCAACAACGCAGAAGTACAGAAGAAAATTGAACACACATTAGCAGTCATATATGACGTATGAAGTCAGCCAGAGTCGCCAGATAACAAGCCAAAAAACCAACAAAAAAGTTAGAGCGTAAAAAAAGAGATTACAACGTGTAAAGGAGCGGAGGTGGTGTTGGAATGTCTATAAAATTCCGCAATTACGCTCGAATTGCAGGCTGCTCGAAAAGTGATGGGCTATCCTATCTCTCTAATGGCGACTAGTACAGCCGAGACAGATACGCGTACATTTCAACAAAGATTGATAGGACTAATTTCGAAAACATCGCCTGCTCTATGTAATTTTTGGATTTCCATTTTGCAAGAACTATCAAGTTAAAAAATTTTTCACCAATAACGAGCTTAGAAGGTGAGTGACATAATCAAATCAACGCAACAAATGATTGATTCTTATAGTTTGAAAAAGGCAAAAAATCTTATGTTTCTCTACAAATGACAAAAAAACAAGATTTTTACTGAGATTATCAAAAGTATAAGAGCGAAATCTCTTCAACGACTATGACTTCTAAAAGCTAGTTTGACTGCGCCAAAGTCTTTAAAATGTGCGAACGCACAAAGGATTTCATTGGACATCAATGAGCGTCTTAGTCCAAAAACACTTAGACGTCTCTTTGAGATTTCATCGAGAGATCTGTTTTTTACGTGAAAGCTGAAATGAACTACTCAAGATGTCTCGATTGGATAGCGAGTCTAGTTCTTTCGGTGTCACGAAGTTTAAGCAAACTTAGATGAGAGCCGCGAACAGAAATTCAGAATGGTAATTGTCCATATTCACATTGTAAACAATTTTGCACTGGCTGTTGCAGAATGAGAATCATTTATACACAGCAAAAGCAATTATGTATAGTTCGTTTCACTGTTGGAATTCTTCATTTATGCTAAGATGATATATTGCCATTTAGCAATGCTACTTGACAACTTAATTTGGAAAAAAAACTCTGGTCTCGAGATAAAAACCATCTCAAGAAAACTATCCGAGATGGGTGCAGCCAAAAACTGATCTCTTCACAAAAAATGTGAAGTGCAAATTGTCCTACAAATTGATGGTATCTACTTCTACAAGCAAACTCAAATAGTTCTTATCAGCTCATAATCAAATGCACAGAACCTGGGCTTAGAGATGAAGAGTCATACTAACTTCAAGATCATGCAGAAATTATTGAAGGAAAAAACTAGCTCGACTTTTCTTTTTTTGATATACAGAAAATGGAAAAAGAGGAAAGTAATCAGTGCAAAGAATATAAAACGATTTGACTAAATTGAGGAAATATCAAGAGTATGCAGTAAATAGATTGCAACATTGAAACCATGCTGCGATCAAAACTGCCCGCTTTTACAATCAGTTGAAGTGTCTAACACACAAAGAGTTCAAGTCGATTGTGGCAAGTTTCACGGTCGCATGAAACATTGGCTACAATCCGAGTTTTTTCAGTACTCGCAACAAAGTATTCAATCCGCAGACCAAGTTTTTACTGCCTCTTCTACATTTCTCCGAGCGGAGTAAGAGTATAAGTCAAAAAAAGCAACTGCTGAGAGTTCATGAGATGAACATTGTTTTGTAAAAGTGAAAACCTCGTATGCGGCACATATGCACACAATCCGTGTTGTTTAAACATTCCAGAGTGAGAACGGACAAGAGGAATTGGAGAGCCACTTGTAAGGGTCAGCGTCACTTCAAGAGGACAGCTTTCGTGCGTAAGCTTGAGTACAAACATTACAAAAATTCAGGACACTGAACCAAAACATGGAGAAACTCAAAATGAAGGGAAATTGGAATTATCAATCATATATATCTGAAACATGCTGAGAAATCGAGAATAGAGATTTACTGATCAGTCTTGGTGGGAAATTCGACGTTTTTATTTCGATGAATGTGAAAAAGAGCATTTTTTAATGCCCAAAAAATTCTGCGACTGCATGACCAGTCCAAACAGGTTCAACTAGTTAATTAATACAAAATCTCATACTACTGTAGCCATGTGCTTTACAACCTGTTTAGCACTGATTCCCGCCTAAAAAAACGCGCGTTTCGATAGTGAGCAAATTACCGTCACTGAATGACAGGGATATATAATTTTCAGATGTCCAAACTGCACGTTGTTTTTTACGACTGAAATTGAAACAACGCCAGAAACAATTATATCAGACATGATACAGAGAAAGCGGGCAAATTAAATAAGTCAGTGGTTGGTAAGCTCAATGAAGACTTCGTCAAAACTCTAAGCGTGGTTTGTACTTATGAATCCTCTTTTAGGAAAAACTGAAGGTGAATTATTGACCCAGCAGTGAGTTTGAGCCATCTTGAGAGCAAATCAAAGCTGAGAGAGCAGCAACAAGGCAACAAAATTTTCTTCACTATATCAGAACTTTCACGGCTATGCGAAGCAAGCATTAAGAGAAGAGAATAATAGATATTTGCTGTTATATTCACAAAAAGTAGCAGAAAGAAAAAAGTTTTCGGTAAAACATGAACACCGAGCAAAAGAAGGAATCACATCGCTCAAAAAACGACGATTGTAGAGGGCAAACAGACGCGCTGACATAAAAGCGAACAGGCGGGTGCTCAACCAAACATCGAACGTACGTACCTTACTATTGCTCACAAAACGAAACAGATTTACTTGTCCCATTCGAAGTAAATCACCATCTTGCAGAATTTCAGTCTGCCCAATTGCGCGGTTATTGACCTGAGACGATATTTCACGGTTAAGAGAAGTTTAACGAGAGCGTGGGTAAGTACGAATCACCTCTATGATAGCGTCTGCTGCGCTTGGTGTGATCGTAACCACACCGTCCATATACGTGATAACACAATGTCTTCCACGCATTTCCGGTCCGTCGAGCTACAGAAAGAAAGTATTACAGACACTTATAGAAACCAGTTTAATCTCAACAAAAAGCCCATGAAGTGGTACTCACGCAGATATTCTGAGGTGAGAACTGTGATAAGGCGCGATCGCTTCCCACTTCTGTTACTCCACTGCTAATAGTTAAAGATCTTGGCGGGTTAACGGGCGAACCATCTGGAATGATGTTATTCTCTGATTGATAAAACATGACTCAAAAAGAAAAACGTGAGGCGTTTGCCACCAAAGAGCAGCACATCAGCGAAAAAAACTGCATCGGATCATAATTTCGAGCTTAGCCAGATCAATGAACTCACCCATTGCCAAGAAATGCAGCTGTGGTTGTCGCGACATCGTAGGAGAAGGATTAGGTGGCTGCTGCTCGGCAGCATTTTGGTGGTAAGAGTCTCGGATGAACACACGAGAGCCTCTGCAAGTCACCAAATTCATGAAAATGGGGTATTTTTCATAGTTATCAACCGCTAGGCTATAAAAGGATCATTCGCTACACAGATTAACCGATTAATCGAACCAGTCGTGAACCTCACTTGAGAATTTGTAAAATCAGTAAATCAAACAAGAGACACAAAGGAAACATAGACAAGCAGTTAAATAGTATTACAAGTACTCACCGATAGCCGCTAGGTTTCTTCCTTAGAGCTAGATAGGTTTCTGGATAACCTTGCTCTCTCGAAGCCATTAGCATCAACGGTGCTTCATCCGGTTCCACAATTCGACCCTCAGATGGAATGTCACGCAAATCCGAAAGGCTGTGGCTTTGTTGCGATGTGGTCAACTGTCAACGACAGAGAGATAATACGTGAGCAATCGCATGATTTTGATTTTTGAAAGACTACATTTCAATCTAAAGATCCATGCAAGACTTTTGTGATTACAAAGTGGGAAAACTACGGACAAATCATTTAGAGCAAAATTCGCACAAGAGGCATCACTGCTCGGTATACTGACTGCAACAAAAGCAAATAATATGCGCCTGACATAATGGAACCCTCAAAACTTGTAGCCGAACATCATAAGCGAGGCCGATCAAGCAAGAACTGGCTCAAAACAATGAGATTACTTGATAGTATGCTGCAGCGAACAAGTTTGAGCGTAGAGCCAGTATAAAAGATCTTACTTCAACAAGCACGTAGTCCGACGCGCTGCTGGGATCGATGGAATATTTTTCTAGAGCTTCTGCAAGGATCTTGTCTGCTCGATCGTGCATTGAGACAAGGATGGTCACATACGGTCGCGACGGCACTAATTCACCGCCGTATATTTTCAGACTTCCGCCTAAACAAAATGTCTTTTCCCTCAGATAAGAACTGATCTGCTGAAAAAAATGTCAATTCAGACTATAGGATAACACACCGAACCATAATTTATGATATTCAAGAATTTGTAAGGATATATAGCAAATATAGGAAGCTTTTTGTTAAGAAAAGAAGTCCAACAATGAGCTGATCACTTTGAACCAAATCTATGAAGTTCAAGAATTTGTAAGGAAAGCCAACAAAGATACAGAAAGCTCTTTGACAAAGAAAGAGGCCACAGCCCACCAAGCGGCTCTTCTGCTGGAAATGGATGACAACCAGAGACGAGACCGGAGAGTAAAAAGTTTGGACACCCATCTAAAGGGCCACGAAACCAGCTCAAGTAGTCAAAATGGTGCAACAAACTACACTGAAGGTGGTTCCAAAAGAGGCAACCATTCCAACGAAGACTAATAAACTTATGAAACCTACAAAGGAGAGAGATTATCAGATGAGAAAAAGTAAAATCAAGATTAAGAGCATACAAATTTTTGAACGCTATGCGCTGATTAGTGCTTGACATGTAAACTGCGTAAGTGTATAGCAATCTCAAAGTTCAAAATCAAAATTGTGAAAATCCGAAACTGTCTATACCGAAGCTCAGTAACCAAAAGAAAGTCGAGTGACACTGATAAGAACCCAGAGGGGACTATAATGTAATTGTGATGTTGGTGATGATATCTTTCAGATGATGACGCTGTTATAACTATTATATCTGTTTGTTGGAATTACTGAAAGTGTATTGGTCATATAAAGCCCAAAAAGTTGTAAGATCTCTCACCAACAGAGCCAAAAAATCATAAAGATTTCAACACATTTTTGGAGCTTAGTCAAGTAATCAATGATGATAAACATAACTAGTACATCGTAAGGTGAAAAATTACCGTGCCCCATCTCTTTTAGTTTCGTTTCCAGCTTCTTCTCTCTCCTCTTCTTCATGACCACTTCCGGATTAGAGATGGTCCTTGTGAAAGAATTTGGAGGTACCTTGAAAGAAGAGTAAGAAAGATACATAGCAGAATGATACACCTAGGCATGCTTATTGATGAAGGATCACAACAACGAGTATTGTATTGACGCTACGACATTACTACAACAATGTAAGTCGAGAACGAGAAGGCACAATAAAGACAAGAAGAATAGAACTAACTTGACAGTAGAGATCAGTTATGGGACCAGTCGCCTCTTCTCGTCCGCTGTTGACTGTTACTAAAGCAGCAAAGATAATGATTCAACACGTACAAGTCCCTAAACTCACTTATGTCCTTCTGATGCTTCTTCTTGACCTCCTTCTTCTCTCTCTTCGAGAAACGTTTATTGTTTCTTCGTATCTCCTCATCACTGGGTAACTGTATGGTCTGAATGAGAGATATGTTCATGAACCTAGGGAATAATGTGGATAAGTACCGATAGAGGTATCGAGCCTTGACGATTCTTCCGCAATAAAAACCTTCCTTCTCGATCGTCTCGATGCCACGTTAACTGCACAAGCAAAGGTTTTTCTTCGTCATCTAGTCGCCGTTCACCTCCACTTTCGTGAACCTAGAACAGACTTCCTCACCATAATCAAACAGAAACTATAGCCTTTCAATAACAAGATGGCTAAAGATTTACCTCCCACAGGCTATAATTGTCATCCGAGAGCATTTTCAAATCAGGAAGAAATTTCTCCGCTAAAGCTTCAACGACTGCACGAGTGGTAGCTGTGCTGGACACGCGCACACATTTAGTGAGCACGCGCTCTCCGCCATCCTAAAAACAGTCTATCGTACTTGAGAGGTCCATGAACCAAAAAGACCCAAGTCTTATTCCATCACTGAGAGGATGAGCTCTTGAAAAGATTTGAAACTTAGATATCAGAAGACGTCTTTGACATTCCGTAGTGTTCCCTACTCAATTACACGCGACAATATTTTTTCAAGTACGGGTCATCCATAAAATTGTGACAACGGATTCGACTGCGGTTTTGCATCTGCAGGATAAAATACTCATACGAAAATACATCACAGCGCTAAGGAGAAAAACTATTCGAGTAGAGATGAAGTCCAAAAAAATGCGGTTGTCGGAAGTGCGTGCGCGTCGCGCGCGGTCCAGTCGCGCAATTGTAACCATCTTTCGAATGCCTTAGATCGTTTCTACAGCACCCATTCTTTCCGTTTGTGTAGTATCATATAAGGATGGCTAGAACATCTTCTCTGCTCATGCGCAAAAAAATAAAGAAAAAACTGTGGATGAGAGAAAGAACAAAACACAACATTACTTGCATCAATATGCCATAAGATATACCCGAGTACAAGAGAAAGTTACTTTCCTCCCATAAGTAAACACCTTTCTCATTCTTACAAGGACTATTGAGCTGATTCACATTACAGTAAGCGAAGTGTCTAACCTAAGAAATGCGACAGGTCAAGAGTGAACGAAAGAAGGCTGTGGAAAACCACCAATGCCCAGTATCCGGAAATTCAAGGGCTACCTTGAAAAAAATGCACACGCATCTCGAGAGGATTGCGCCATCCAGCGAAGTGACCACTCAAATTCCTGCTAATTCAACAATTTAAATTGACTGCCGCAAATTTTACGGCCGCTCTACAAATCCCCCTGGGGACTGAGCGCCCAAACTGATACAAATCTGCGCAATCTGATCACATTTTCCGCGATTAAACAAAACCGGAGATAGCGCCAGCTTGTGATATTATAGTGACAATTTTTTCAACAATAATATTATAACTCAGTTCTGCCGTACCCGACCGCGATTTTTCTGGGGCCCGTGCAGTTTTTCTTTGGAAAATGCGTACCGTATGACAGAATCATCACATACATTCCTCAAGAATAGCTTATGCAAAACTCATTTCATCCATGAAAGGACCTCAAAATGGAACGAACGAGACGTCAAATGTAGGCGATTAAACGTGGACATGTCAAGGCCACGACCATCGCTCACACAATGGTGAAAAACGACTGCGAGATATACGTACAAAGCAAAATAGTCCAAGCGAGAAAGAAAGAAGAGGTGCAAATCGAAAACAAGAATATGTATAAGATAGATCTGAAATGACTCACTTGGAAATAGAATCGCATGACTCCCTCAATCTCCAGATCCTAAAATAATTTACATTCAATGAAAGTTGCACAGCATTTATGCAATGCACACCAAATCTGAAGTGATTGTTCATATCAAAAACTTGGCGCTTCCTATATATAGAAGGATAAAGACAAGGAGAAAAGTTAGGATGGATGCAAAACTTTAACAACAAACATTTTCACCCAATAATAAGTTTACTAACCTCTGTGGGATAGCTCAAATGGAATAAATCTAGCCGATTTTCATTCCATTGCTCTACAAGAGCAGCGAGCTGTTCACGCTCGCTTCGATGAGCGACTTCCATTAGTGAATTAAGTGTGCCGAGATTAATATTAGTATGTTGGTGCGATCAACGCGGCATAGATTCTGAAAAGTAAGATACACTTTTTGTCGGATAAAAGCAGAAGTTCTGACATCTCTTCAAGATTCTGTGATAGCTTTTGAAAACACATTTTTATCACAACATATGCAGAAAGCAAACCACGTCTGGAGACCAATCTCAATGCAGACTTATGTTATAGCTAACAAGGGAAGGATCTTTGGTGACCATGGCCTTTTCGCATGGAACTTATACCAGTAGATGCGATTGGAAGCGCTGATTCCAAATTTGCTTCCAATATCTGCTGTGCGCTCTTCCGAAAGAAGTTATGAACATTTCTAGCTACCAAAACTTGCACTGTTTTGTTGACAGGTTCACCAATATCGTTAAAATGTTCACTTGAGCAATACAGAAGAGCGTCCAGATAAAATGATTATTTACGTCGAGCTCAGAAAAACTGTCTCCGATATATAGGAGTTCAAAAAGACTGCATACTGACGATTCTGACTGCCTGGATCTCGTGAAATTAATTTGGAAAAAAAAATTCCATAACTTCGTTCAGATACTGAACAGATACACAGCAGATATTGAACATAATTTTGGAATCAGCGTTTCAAGGCGCATCTACTGACATACATCTCACTGCAGAAGGCCATGGTCACCAAGTATCATTCCCTTGTAAGAAAAGAAATTCACTAATGATCAAAACATTTGAGTTGCTTTCAAACAATGTGGCTAAATACTGGAGGACTTAATGTGGATTTAGACTTTGAGCCATTCCGCTCTATGATTTCCAACAGTCCAACAACCAGGGGACACCAACCCCAGAATTTCTGCAAAACTAAATAACATGATTTGATGTCTTTACTGACTCCACTCTCAGAGGACACTCATCAGTGTTAAGTTCACATTTAAGTTTGAGCCACAATGCAGAGAAGAGTGACTTCCTATAATGCCTGAAGCTAAAAATAAGCAAAAATTAGGTAAGAAAATAAAAAATACTCAAAAAGGGGACAGCCAGGGATGGTTGACCTGACTCAAGAATATGTAGGAAAAAGCAAAAGCATCCGTGAAAAGACGATGAAAAAGAAGCTCAAAATGGCGCCGGTCTAAAAATGGAAACAGCAAGAGAATCTGGAACGCCGCCAACACACGATCGGTGCCCGTTTTGGTCACGTTGACGCAAACTGTGGGCGCGCGTGAAAAGGAACTCCGACACGCTTGAAAATGCGAAATCCATTAGCAAGTGAACACAGTTGGAGTATACTAATGGGAGATGTATCTCGCCTGCTGAATGCTGGCTGTTGATGAGCTCCGGTCCGGTTTACGACGACTTCTTATTCGCTCCTATTAGGACTTCCGGTTTCCACTCGTATCAATTGCATGCTTATTCGCAAGAAAAAACATTCGATTTCATACGAGAAACAAGAAGTGCTAAGCTATCGTGAAAGCTATGCTTGGAGATCGAGAATTAGTGTTGTCTGAGGAGAAACTGCACTTCCAGAAATCAAAGCACGTGAGTGGAGGTAAAATGCGTGTTCAAAAGTCAATCTATGGCTATTCCTGTCTCGTTTTTTCACCGAGCCAATTTGTCATCGTATAAGAGATTGCTGACACCCCGTAGTATTTCTCTTATCGAAGCACTATCATTTGAATAACCGTGAAGTAAAGGTCTTTTTTGTTTCTCCCAGTTAGACTGGAACATAAGTTACTTTCCCTCAAGATTTATAATAGCCAAATTTCCCAAAAACACTCTCACATGTGTTTGACATATGCCAGTAAGAGTCGCATTTTTGTCTCTGAAAGAAACCAGACAAGTCAAAACTCCTATTAGGCCGGAAGAAATCGATTATTCCAAATATGAAATGTGCAGATTACACGCATGCTTCTTCCACAAGTTATTCCATAAAAAATTTCAACCGTAACTATGCTTTTACAGTGTTTTTATAAATGTAAACCAATGAAAAAGCTCAGAAAACTTGTAGAAAGTTGTGCAATCAAATCTGTGCGTGAAAATCCCGCTACACAAAATATCAGATTCATTAAGAAATTTTTGATCAAAAATTCTTTTTCTGGGGCTGTGTGCTGGAAATTTCTTTGGTAATCCTGCAGCAACGAAAGCAAAGCTGTCTAAGCTGAAGGAAGCTCTACGGAATGAAACCCAAAGATTGGCAAAAGTTAAAACAAGAGAGTTACTGACACGAAACAGTGTGCAAACTTTTTGGATACACCGTGTATTTACCTATGCGGGAGATGTTTGAGACTGCCTTTGAAGCTCTCTTTTCTTGAAGTGTGACTTTTTTGGCCGAAACCCAATTTTAGCCTTGAAAAGATTCTCAATTTTTCTTCAAACTCCGCGTGAAATACTTCGACGATTAGAGCTATTTTGTAGAGCTCGCTTTGTTCTATCGAATTCAAACAACGTCCAGTGTTAAAATGATGTGATTACAAATCTGCTCAGGTGAAAACAATTTCAATGGAAAAGCTGATACATAAGCCCTGGAAACTGGAGTTACATCTTGGAATACCTAGCCAGCTTTTACCTTAAACTTGAATAAAAGTCAAGTTGAAACCTGCCCCAGTATATTATGGTCAAAAACTTCTGGTTTTATGTCGTTTTAGGCAAATACGAGGGAGTATAGAGCATAGCACGTCATGGTAAATATAACTCTAAAACTGGTTCGCAGATAATTAGAGACTAGCACAATTACACTGGCCAATTTGCTTTGTACTGATGTCGTTATAGTTTGAAGAGGCAATGCTATACTGAGACGATCACTTTTGAAAAACGTAGTCTTGTAGATCTAATGCTTAGTGCCTCCACGCTGCTGACAACACTTGTGCGTGAGAAATGGCGATGAGGCAGCAAAGTCGAGGATGTGCGCTGAGCATTTTTTAAGCGCAAGTGTTGGCGGCACAAAAGCCCAGCAATTTTTTACGCGCAAGTGCTGTTTGCGACCTAAGAGCACAAAATTAATAGTCGAATTTGATAGACTAGATTGTAGCTAGTGCAGAAGGTGCACAGAGACTATTTTTTATAATATGGAAAACCTTTACAGAATCGATTTATTGAGATACTCCGAAATTATAAAAAAAAACAGTAATCAAAAAAACAGTAGGCAGGATTAGATTAAAGGAAAAAAATACAGAAGAATTGCAGATATTTTGCTTTACGTAACCATTAAGGACGCCTTTGTGTAACTTGCTTCTCGAAAACGCAGCTTTCCTTCGCATATATGGTTTCTCGACGTAAAAAAATACCTCGCTGAATGCGTGATTGTTAGGAATAGGAAATGCTGCACTTGCACTGAAGCTTTTCGCCGTAAAAAAACTAGCTACCAGATATCGTATTACAATCGTGAAAGTCGTGCACGATACAATACGAGATTGTCACGAGTTTTTTTATAGCTGCGAAGCAAAAACTGATGGCGGGGGACTCGTTTTTATATTGCAAAAGCAAGATTAAAAAAACAAAGTTAATGACTTTTTGAGTGAGATCTGCAAGTATTCAAAGTAAGCTAGTTCTTGTAAAAGACAGGCGGGAGTTTTGTTGAGTAGTAGAAAAATAACAATTATTCTAAAAGTATTGCAGAATTAAATCGTGCGCCTTTTGATTTTGCGGAAATCCGGTACTTTCAGTAATTTATTTTTGTTTATCTTGGTTGTTATTAGCATGTAGGTTTTGATAATACGAAAGGAAAATTTGAAAAAAGTCTTTTGTTAAATGGTTAGCTTTTTTTTCTTTCCAACCAAGAAATAATTATTATTACACTAGCTGGCTTACCCGGCTCCGCCGTATGTTCCGAATAGAAAATTCCATTTCTTAACCGATCCGGACCAAACTTGGCACACATACCCTTCGGGCCCCAGCGGGTGTCACAGTCCACTTTTCGTTATCGATCGATGTCGATTTTATCAATTTTTTGAAAATTTGAGCTAGGGGGTTGGAATTTGGCAGAGGGGTGTAATCGAGCATGCTGTGCCAACTCCCAGCTCCGTAGCTCAAATTTTGCAAAAAATCGATAAAATCGATATCGATCGATGACGAAAAGTAGCCTATGACACCCGCCGGGGCCCGATGTGTATGTGTGCCAAGTTTGGTCCGGATCGGTTCAGAAATGGAATTTTCTATTCGGAACATACGTACACACAGACAGACAGACATACAGTGCTGGACATAATTATACAGCCACTCTAGAAATCGTCGTAATTTTTGTTCTTGTCCATGAATCTGTCTGAACTTTGCTGTATTGTGCGCATGTCAACCTACCATAACCCCTCAAAACGGCTTCCAGTCTTGTTGAGTTTGAACGGAGTAAAACGAAAAAAATCGAAAAAGCCTTCTTTGAAAGCTGGACAAAATTATACAGCCACCTGGTTTTTCTAATCACTATCGCATTCGTTGACTCTCAAATTTTTTTGTACAATTACATCCCATAATATGAAACATTTGCGACACTTACGGCCTGTCTTCCTACTCAAATAGAAGCAATCGCTGCATTTCTTGCTTTTAGAAGCATTAAAAGTCAATCTCCTTCAACAAACAACTGCTTTAAAGAGTTTTCAAGCTCTTGTTCATTCCAAATGATAATCATGGAATGACTAATCTACTGACCCTTTTGGATAGATGAGGTGAAGAGCGCTCTCGTAAACTCTGCGTAATTGCTGATTTTGACGGACAGACTCCAACCTCAACATAGGCTTGGAACGCTTTTAAACCACAAAACTCAGTTTGCAATGTCCACAAAGTGCTGAACTTGATTTATCACAATGTCTACATGGGGATACAGCTTTCGCAACAACTTTCAGATTTTTCCTAATGATGCGGTAGCGATTGAGACCTGGAATACTTTCCACAAATATTCCCTGCGAGCGGAAGATTCGATATAACCCTAGATCTCCTTATTTCCGTCTGTGTTTCATGTCATATTTCACCCGATGAATGAGGTTAGCTAAGATTTTGAAGTTTTTAACGTCTCCGGTTTTATCTCGTGATCTGAGTTGGCTTTGATTGTACAGGGTGCTCCACTCAACATTCAGTGAATGTCAACTGCGGCTAAACCAATGTGCTCAACCCCGAAATTTTATCCCAGTCATGCACACGAGTGCACTGCTATATGGCTATCGTAATGGCTACCTTACAGTATTTTCTGTCGCTTGAAAATCGAGTTTCGTGGTGCAAAAGTGCGTCAACCCTATGGTGAGGTTGGAGTCTGTTCGTCAAAATCAGCGATTTCGCAGAGTTTACGAAAGCGCTCTTCACCTCATCTATCCAGAAGGGTCAGTAAATTCCATGATTATCATTTGGAATGAAAAAGAGCTTGAAAACTCTTTAAAGCAGTTGTTTGTTGAAGGAGATTGACTTTTAATGCTTTTAAAAGCAAGAAATGCAGTGGTCGCTTCTACTTGAGTAGGATGAGAGGCCGTAAGTGTCGCAAATGTTTCATATTTTGGGGTGTAATTGTACAAAAAAATTTGAGAGTCAACGAATGCGATAGTGATTAGAAAAACCAGGTGGCTGTATAATTTTGTCCAGCTTTCAAAGAGGGCTTTTTCGATTTTTTTTCGTTTTTCTCCGTTCAAACTCAACAAGACTGGAAGCCGTTTTGAGGGGTTATGGTAGGTTGACATGCGCACAATACAGCAAAGTTTCAGACAGATTCATTGACAAGAACAAAAATTACGACGATTTCTAGAGTGGCTTTATAATTATGTCCAGCACTGTACAAACAGACATTCAGCTTTATATATAAGATGAAAAATTTTTATTGGAAGAAAAATTCCTATTTAAGTACCAAACAGGCCCCAACAGAAGTTGAGTCTATGCATGTCTGTCTGAATAAACCTTAAGAGATTACATTTATGTCAACGACTTATGAAACCACAGATTACCTTGAGTATACGGAGGATCTAAAGAACTCGAAGATTTACAAACAATAATCTTTTGCCACCAATTTGTAAGGCCACTGTATTTTTCAGATTGCTTTAAAACATGTTCTTGCACTGGTTAAAGAAAGTTTAAAATTTTGAAGGTATTTTCCTTTTTTAGAGAATGATACGTAACCAGCATGAGCTGGTGATATTATCATATTTTGCGGTCTTAACATCGACGGCTGGTGGCAGAAAGAACAATTTTTGTCATCTATACATGCTGCAAATACAGCTTAAAAATGTGCGATACGGTAGAAAAGATGATACTGATTTAGAAAAATTGCTTAGGAATAGTAGTCAAGCTGCAAAGAATTGTAAGATGCAAATTTATAAACATGCAATTCCCACGATTAATTTTTAGGGCACTTTAGAAGACTAATCGGCAGAAAATCTACAAATCAAGGGAAAAGTCTGGTTAAAAAGCATCATTTCTGTTGTTTCTATCAAGTCCAAAATTTGTGCCAGCCAGCTCAACTGAGTGAAACGAGGAAAGCTGTTGCAAGAAAACTTTGTTTCGCCGACAATAGAAAAATGACAGTGGACAGTTGTTAGAAAGAAGGAAGTAAAGTTGTTAACGGTTCAAATATTTTTATGACTGACTAACTGGCTAATTGGTCTGCTGTCAACTTTTTTCACCAATTTCTAATGCTGAGAGACTGGAAAGTGCTCAAGGATGCCGAAAATGAATTCTTGATTTTCAACCTAAAGTTTAGAATTTTAAAAGTTTCCGAAGAGGAGTAACTACGTAGGGAATTCGTTCGTTCAGTCGCTTTTAGAATCATGTGTACACTTTACATATGAGACTTTATATTGGGGACACCAACTGAAACTCTCAGAGTAAGAACAAGCCGTTAATTAATTCGACCTTC